ATTCAAAAAATGATGGCAACCCTCAGAAATTCAGGGCACAGTTTCCACGGTGTAAGGGTAATGAGCTTGAACTGGGTAGACGGGAAGGACTCCTTTTAATTAAAATAGGATTACATTTCCACTAACAAAGAGTCTTATCCTGCCTTGCTCTATCAGATTCGTTTCATCCACTTTTTACTCGTTCGATTCACGCTTATCTCTTTCTCTGTAGAAACGCTACTATGTAAGTTGTCATTGCGGGTTGAACGAACTCCGGAATAACTCCGCTCCATTCCCTAGAAAAGAGCGAGTTCATTCCGCTTTCTGCTCGCTCAGCTCTGCTTGTCATGTTGTAGTCTCTACATTTAATTTTGTAATGAACTATTAGTGTTTTAATTCGGTTCAACTTTTTATAAAAGTGTTGACCAATGCAATAAATTAAATTAAAGTTTTGTTGCTACATTTCATTAAAAACTGCAACACCTCATTTAACTTTCATTATTGTCAAATTGTTTTTGCTTTTACTAGATGCATAGTTCTTCATCTTATATTAGATCTTATTTTATAAATTTGAAAATGAGTTTGTTTGTTTGTTGTGTTTTTACGCCCAATCCACTAAACCGATAAAACAAAAACTTTTACTTATGAAAATTTACATTATCAGTGAGTTATGTTACTTGCTTCTTTTTGCCAGCAAAAGCTAGTAGGTATTAATATAAAAATGGAACTTGACATTTAAATATTACATTGTCGTTTAGTACGCACTAGTCGTTTCGTTTGCGTTTATGGTCATTGCTCTACTCCTAAAAACCGTAGCTTTAAATAGTCCCTAACCTATGTTCCTCCTTATCGAATAGAAAAAGAATTATTCAATTCTGACTAACAGATCCAGAGATTAGTGCATTTGTTTGTATCAAATCAAATTACAAGCTAAATGATCTAGATACATAGTTATGATATTTAAAAACTGTGTATATACAAAGTGTACAAATCCTTGTAGAATGCACATCAAACACTAAAATAATGCAATAACAGTTATGTTAAGGTCGTTCAAACACCCACTTCGAACCAATTAATTTCATAGTTATTATATTCAATTATTCATATGATGCAATATCATATTAACAAGGTTGGTATTTAAGATATTTATTTCTTAATTCTCAGTATTTTGTAAGGTCCTTGGCTATTTACGTTTACAATTTTTTTACATTTGTTCACTTTGCACGTTTTTTTATGAAAATAAGTCTAAATACAAGTCTTTGGTACATGTGATCGAAATTTTACTTACTACTTTATCATTAACTCTTACATGTTATAATTGAAGAAGTTTACTGTACTTTTAATAAACTCTTTAAAGTTTTGAATTCATCAGATATCTAAGGTACCAAATAAGTCCTGACCATTACTTGTTGCAGTAAAAAAAATTAGAAAAATACTAAAACTAAGTGACTCGTTCTGATTGTAGACTGAATGAATAGAACGAAATTTAGTTGAAGCAATATATAAGTTGAATAAGCCTTTAAATCATCTATGTAATATAAGTGTTAGCTAAGTAAGTAAAAAGATTTGTTATTTATTATTAAATACATTTTTGTTTACTGCCACACGTAATGATACGCCACTACTACCGAAATGAATTATTTTCTGACGAATTTGATGAATTTGGGCACAAAGTATATAGGTATTCATATACATACATACATATTTGACTAGAAGTGTACGTGATCTATGGTTAAAAAAGTTCAGACAATCATCATCATCATCAGCCCATCGCAGTCCACTGCTGAACATAGGCCTCTCCTATTGCACACCACTTAGATCGATTTTGGGCTTCTCGCATCAAGCTCTTGCCAGCCATCTTGCGCAAATCGTCATTCCATCTGGCTCCACTTTAATGAAATTAATAGTGACAAAATTTTTACTACGAATTACCCAATCCATTATATTTATATTAAATACTTTCTAAAATATGTAGAATATATCAGTTCAACAATCATGAAAATGTGTTCGTCATAGATACATACATACGAATTTTCAAAGTATTAGTACTCATTATCAATTAATGCTTGTTAAAATTATATCACCTAATTTATCAATGTTTAGTTTTACGATTACTTTATTCCTCTTAATAATGTATCTCCATTTACCCTTATTACAACATGCTACTAAAAAAATCGTAGTTATTAAATCTTTTGAGATGAGACAAAATTATAGCCGTTTTTGCAGTTATGACATAAGCCTGCAAAATTAACTTTTTGTTTGATTTTATCATCTACCTATCACATGAGTTAAGATCAAAGATCACATAACAAGGTAGCTTGTTACAACACAATTTAAATAACAAGACTTTAAATTTTTCTAGAACTCTGCTTTACAACAAGTTACAGATTGTTGTTGACAATTTGATTTGATTGTCGTTGAACAAGCTGAAGGTTTTAGATGTCGATCTCGTTACTATCTCTGTCGTTAACCGTGGGAGAGACATGCTTCGGGACGGTATGAATGAGCCAGCTCGACCGGAGAGATACAAGGCCTCACCATATTATAAAAATATCATTTTATACCTAATATTTTTATTAACATATTTTAGTCTATAGTATAAATAATATGAAAATTCATGTCCATTACAAAGACAAGTTTAGACAGGAAGATTTTGAAAGTTCACGGGTCGTCAGGCACAACAGCTAATACCAAATATTGTTTGATAGCTAGGTACTGAAACTTTTCCTGTGTATAAACATGTTATTGTATATTCTTTTCATTAACCTTACATACAGGGTTAGGATCACTTAGGGTTCCGATTAGGAAGTAAAAACCTAAACGCTGACATAGCTATCATTACCCGCGACTTACTAATAAAGCGCTGTCTTAGCGGTGTAGTACGGTACGCGACTGCAGTCCAAGTGGCCTCGGTTTGGTTCACGGACCGAGCTAAATTTTATAGAAAAATCCTATAAAATTTAGCTGAGAGAAGGATAGCCTAAGTTAATCCTTATATAGACAGCTACCTGGTAGTAAAATATTATCAAAATGGGTACAGCCGTTTTGAAGATTACCGGAAGAAACAGACAGACACAAAGTATTTAAACTGGTTTTTAGGCAAAGGTATCGTGCAAATAACCATGTGAAAAAAACCTATTATTTTGGCATTACAAACAGACACTTCAATTTTATTTATTTAATAGATAATTTGGCATCAGGTCATTAGTAGAAGTTTTTATAGGTGAGATAATATTATATTGTTCTGCGAAAATGGTTTCTAAAGCTTATTCTTTTCTTAAAGATTATTCTTTTTTAATTAAAAAACAACATTCAGAATCCTAAGTTGAGTGTTCTCTCTGAAAATCTTATGGTAATTACAATATTCATTATCGAATAACGATGGCCTTCATATACTTACAAATTCTCACACACTTCATAGTACTGCATCTGATTATGCATATATATTAATAAAAATATAAGAACTTTTTTGTTTGTTCAAGTTATGTACAAAAAATGTTCGAAAAATAGTAAATATATATGTATATATATAAATATCGTTATGTTTGATATTGTGATGTTTATAAATTCAATTGTACCTACGCACTACAAGTAGGTATTTATAAAAGATTTGTAGTAGCTTCTATTTCTATCGTTACAATTGGCTGACTTAAAAGTATTCAATTATATTACTTTTTGGACGTTCATGTTTACTGCTCTACCCTGGGGGTTGTAACATGATGTTAAGTAGCCTAAAGCGAAATTGTAGTACCAAATTAAAAATATTATTTCAATTGTGAACAGTTTAATATGTAATAACGTATTAGGACAAACAATGATGAATATTCAAAGACGATTTCATTTGCTATTTTAAAACCTAAAACATAATTTTAGATTCCACTTGTTTGTTTAACTTGAAAATGTTTATTACCACTATATCATAATGAAACTCATATACTTTCGCAAGATTTTGTACGCAATAACTAGTAAAACATGTAAAACATATCACCTGTGTACCTACCTAACATCTTCAATATCTTGATGCAATGTAAAACTTGTACTTTACCTATCACTCATGTTTAAATGAAATAAATTATTCTATTCTATTCTACAAAATAACTAAAACAGTTACCGAAAATTGATGTCCAAAGACATAAATAGAAAAATAAAAAAAAATCAGACGTGGATTTTCCCACAGTGTATGATTGAGTCAATTATTTTAATTGTTTTCTTGTGTGCAACACAAATAACTTTGAGTAGGTTGTTAGCATCACAATGAGGGTTCGCACAGTATGTACTTATATACTTTAGAATTATTCAACGCAAGGAACATCCAAATTGTCACAAATGCACCTTATGTTTACAGTTGATAAACGTAGCCAAGATGTTACAAGTAGACGCCATGATAACTGGCAACTGGCTATGTGTAAAATATTGATGTTATTGCCAAAAGTTTCCCTGATAATGAAGTATCTAGTTCATTATAAAAAGAAGGTCAATGCTCGTAGCAAAAATTCGTTCAAATTTAGTTCCTATCTACTCTCGATCCCGATAGCATTCCTAAGACACTGAAAAAATAAAGTTTAAAATTATTCCTACATAAAGTGCATACATGTTTGAACAAAAAATGTTAGAAAAAAATACTTGCGCGGTCTCGGGCAATGTGTATGCACTTCATAGCAACAATTTAAACTTGCAAGTTTAGTTTAAAGGTCAGAATACCAATTCAACTTTCGGTCACAGTACTATATAATTATATTACAGTAAATATTTAATGTTTAATACTTTACTACGATAATACCTAATCACATTTGTGAACACCAAAATAGATTTCAACTGAATTTTGAACGAATTTTTATTTCGAAAATTGACCTTCTATTATGGTTTAGTCGTAATATATAATAATAATATAATATTCTACCACATTCACACAACGCAATCTAGTCCCTAACTAAGCAGAGCTTGTACTATGGATATTAAACAAATGATATAAATACAAAAATACTTTTTTTTAAATTAAATTATATCGTTTATTGTTCTAGGACTGGAGGATACTGTTAAGCTAGTGAAGGGTATTGGCGGCAAATGCTACGGCTACACCGTGGACTTATCAAACCGAGAAGACATTTACAGAGTAGCTAAGAAGGTGGAAGAAGAATTGGGAAGGGTAGGTACATTAGTAATGTCGATTTTACGTAACAAATTAAACGTTCACAAACCCGGGTCAGTCATTGACTGGCTTTCTTTTATTATTGGTGCGTAAAGCCTCTACACCGTCCTTATGTTGTCTGTGTTAATTATACACTGTATTTACACACGATTTTTATTTCCGATGATTACGTTTTATTTCACCTTGATGAAAATGAAGAAATATACAAAACCTCATTTGATATTTGGCAAACAATTTCGTATATTTGGTTCTTCTTTTAACGTCGTTTTGACTTAGTCACTTAGTTAGTAGTTTTTCTGGGATATCATATAATTGCTGTTTTAACCTTAATTGCTTTCTTGTGACACTGAGACATAATAGTTATAAACTACGCTGTTATTAGCTGTCTTTTGAGGCTTAATTCGGTGTCAAACCACTTCGTGTGCGGAGATAATTATGGTTAGGAGTAATCACTAAAGAAAAATTTTCCAGGGATTGTTGAATACTCGTATGTGTCTTCAAAATTTGAGAGCTAACTTGACACACAAATCGTCGGATCGATCAAATTTGAGACCTAATTTCAATATCTCATAACTCTCAAAACAAAAAAATGTTCTCAGATCACTTTTTATGCGCAGTATGACACACCAAATGATTTTAGTAGGTTCGATCGCGATGCACTGCCCCACCGAAAACCACTTGGTGCAACCTACCTACTTGATGCCTTTCGCAGGTACCTAGTACCGAAATATAGTGTAAATGAATATGCACCACAGCCTCACAGAAAACCGGTTCTAAGCGAGCCCCAAACGTCCACCTCTCCCCTAATTGTGCGGAAGGGAGCCACACTAAGAAATGCATCGTACTTGTATCTCTTAAGTTGCAGGTATATAAGGGCAGCGGTTGTCACTTACATCAGGTGACCCGTCTGCTCAGTTGTCCCCTGTTACATATAAAAAAACATTTATGAGTATAGCGAGATTACGAAGGACACTTAGTATTAATTAGGTAGTTTTAGCTCTACTGCAAAGTATTTTACACATAGCTTGGCTCTCGATGTTTTGCTATTTAAAATAAAACCTCAAGAGTTTAGTTTTTATGCTTTCTTTTTATTTCAGGTAAATTTGTTAATAAATAATGCAGGCGTTGTGTCGGGACATTACTTATTGGACACACCGGACCACCTTATCCAGAGGACTTTCGAAGTCAATATATTAGCACATTTTTGGGTAAGGGAAATTATCACCTATGATAATTATGTTTATTTTTTTCTGAAATATAATTTGTAACGATACTGACACCAAGTGTTAATTTATAGTCGAACTTTATATTTTACTAACTTTTACACTCTCTGTAAAGAAATTATTGGTAGGAGATAATACATAAGTAAACTCACAATAGTTCACACATGTATTTATTATCTATTATTCAGGATAACCTGAATGTACGATTTTATATATAAATTTTATATTTAATTTAAAGCTTGCATTTTTATCCTGTTTTCTTTGAAGTTTCAAAAACTTTACTGTGATAATAATATTACACTAAATATATTAGTCACCCTTAGTATTCTGATATAAAATAAATGGCCAGACATACATCGAATTACCCTCTATATGTATTTATGTGCTTGACTAACTTTAGCACAGCTTAAATAAAATAAAAAAGATTCATATTTGAAAACACAAATGCAGGATACTCCCGCTACCTTTTTAAACGTCTTCATTGATTAACCAATTAAATATCAAATAATATACTTCAGACGGTGAAGGCCTTCCTGCCCGCCATGATCGAGCAAAATGATGGCCACATCGTCACCATCGCTTCCATGGCTGGACACGTTGGTGTTGCCAAGCTAGTTGACTACTGCTCATCTAAGGCTGCTGCTTGTGGTTTTGATGAGGCCTTGCGAGTTGAATTAGAGACTCAGGGCATCAAAGGAGTACGCACCTCTCTAATATGTCCATATTTCATACGTTCTACTGGAATGTTTGAAGAAGTTAATTCTAGGTAAGTGATTGAGTAAAAGTAAAATATTAGAACCCAGAAATTAAAAAAAACTGCAAACAAAATTCTTACATAAAAAAAACCATCAAATAAATTCATCTGAAAAAAGATAGAAACATATTTATGTATTGATCTGACTTAATAACATTCATAATACTCTTGACATTATTAATTCTCTGAATAAATTTATGATATGAATATATTCTTCAAATTGTATTTGTAATGTTGAACGTCTAAATAATAATCTTTTAAATATCTATGTCTAAATATTTGCACACCTTTAAGAGGTTATATTACAGCGTACCCATGTATTATATGATGTATCTTCTACCACCTTTATACCTGTTTTATGCAAATAATAATTGATTTTGATTTTGATTTTTGATTTTGATTATTCTTCATTGATTTAATAATACAATATACCTTATTACTATAATTTGGTAGACGAGAACGAATACTATTTGTCTAAAGAGCCTAAGAAATTAGTTGTTGGTTTTTTAAACTTGTCAGACTACTATTTAACAAAAAAGAAATGTAATACTTGTGATATTGTTTTGTTTGTGTTTGTTGCTGCAACATTTCGGTGCCGAATGAGTCGTAGACAGGATGTTTCGTTTATGAGTTTTTCAACGACAGAACCTTTCAAATACGAACGATTCGAAGACAGAATGTTTCCTTTATGAGTTGTTCAACGACAGAACCTTTCAAATACGAACGATTCGCCGACAAAACGTTTTATATAAGACCTAATCAACGCCAAAACCTTTCCGCCATGAACGTTTTGCCGACAGAACGGTTTTCTTTCTTTCTCGACAGCTCAAACATAAACCTATGTGGTTTCTCCAGAATATATACATATATATTAATGAGTGAATCGACGTATCGTGAATCGTTTGTTCGTGATTGAATCGTTCGTATGTGAGAGGTTCTGTGTCTGTGTGTAATGTTACTTTAACATTACAGCATAAAAAAATCTTGTAATTACTTAATTTTTTCAGATTTGTGCCACAGCTAAGTCCTAACGACGTAGCTGATCGCGTGGTGCTCGCGATTCGAACCAATGAACCTTTTGCCCTGCTTCCTGGATATTTCCGGGCCTTGCTGCCTCTGAAGTGGTGCGTACACAGTTCTACAATTATTCATCTATAACGTAATACAACCTTTTGAAACACGGTGTTTTAGATTGTACATAAAATGCAATGAAGCTTACTTGAAAACGGTAGATAACACCTATTCCTCTTACAGTTTTATAGTATTTTTGCTTTCGCACTAAAGTTATTCTTTAAAACCAAGGAAAAAAAATTATGAATTAAAATGCATGAAAAATGTGCCTACCTTTTGTCATAAAATTACACCAAGCTTTGATTCTTGTTAGAAATAAATGTTAGATATATACTCCCAAAGCTGGGCGCCCTTCTGCCCTAGGGCGAATTTTGCCCAATTTGGGTGGCGCCAGCGTCACGAAAAGACGGCTGTACATGGGGGTTGTCCGGTCAATGGCATTGTACGGTGCACCGGTGTGGGCGGTGGCTCTGACCGCCCACAATAGGGCACGCCTCTGGCGCCCTCATATATTGGCGGTTAGATCCGTTGCGCGTTGGCCGGAACACCCCCATAGGATTTGGAGGCGGAAGTGCTCGCCGAAGTATATCGGCGGACGGCTGAGTTCCGGGCGGATAGCGGCATAAGGCCCCCACCCGAAGAAATACGCGAGTGTAGTGAGGCCGCTCGCCGAGCCACGATGGCTCGTTGGTCATCCCGGCCGGAGGCTTAATGGAGGCGCTCCAGCCGGTCATCGTCGAGTGGGCAGGGCGTCAGCACAGCAGCAGGGACCCTTGAAAGCGTCGACTAACGCAGCTCCTTTCCTGGCACGGCTGTTTCGGAAAGTACCTGGACTCGGTCGCTGGGAGGGAATTGAGTCCCGCCTGTCACCACTGCGATGGCAGTGAGGACTCGGCTCAGCACACGCTGGCAATTTGCCCAGCTTGGGCCCCGCAGCGCCGGGTCCTCATTGCAGTTATCGGGGGGGATCTCTCGCTACCGGCCGTCACAGATAGTCACCGGTAGTGACAGATGTTTCACCGCGGTCGCATCCTTCTGCGGCGGCGGCGGCGGAGAGGGCCCGGGAGGACAACCTCCACTCGGACCCATTTCGTCGCCGGCGAACCGACCGGCGGAGGTAAGCTTACCACCGCCAAATGCCGCCCTGAGCTGAGGCGGACGGGACGGGGTTTTTTCCCCTCCACCCGCCATAACGGCCAGCCGCGAGCCTATATGGAGAATGCACCTGGGGATGGAGCCCACGTCATCGCGGGCAGGCGCTAGGAGGGGTCCGGATGTCGTAATAACAGCAGTTCCCGGATCCCTCCTATTACAGGCGCAGAGTGGCACACCGTGTGGTTTTACGAGGCATACCCAGATTGTAGATTGTTGTTAGGAATTAGGATCGTAGGCATAGATCCAAGATTCGTCACCACTGATGATTTCGTAGACGTGATTTGACTCACCTCAGTTGAACCTTTGCAGAGTTTTCTTACACCATCTGACGCGGGCCGTCTTGTGATCGTCGGAAAGCAGATGCGTTATCCAACGGCAAACTAGCTTTCTCACACCAAGCGCTTCATGCAAGATCTTCTGAATGGTTGTCCCTGAGATGCCTAATATAGCCTCTATCTCTCGATACGTCACATGACGATCTTCGAGAATTAGTTGTCTCACAGCAATGATGTTATCTTCAGTGAAGGCGAATTTTGGGCGTCCTTCGGGAGATTTGTCACTAACACTAGTATGTGAACGCTGGAATTCTAAATACCAGCGTTCGACAGTCCGCAGACATGGGGCTTCATCACTGAACACAGATGTTAGCTCTTCAAAACACTGAAGCCGTGTCAGGCCTCTTCTAAAGTTGTAGAAAATTATTGCACGAACATTTTCCTTAGAAATATTCATTTTCGTACGTAACCTAAGAGATTCCAATCGACGCTGTGACTAAACAATAGCATTAATCCTAAAACTTTCAACAGTTTTGAGATTCAAAATTTAAACACATTCGAATATAGAACAGTTCCAAATTCAAAATTGCCGGGAAATATGGAAACCACAGAACTTAAAAGGCATGCCTAGTTTTACAAGCGCAGAGTGGCACACCGTGTGGTTTTAGTCGATCCGATTCTTTCGACACACCACCCCGCTGGAAACCCCGGTGGGGTGATGGCCCGAGGGGGTTTCCACACGTAAAACAAAAAAAGTTAGGTAAAGGGTCCGCCATCTAAAGTTTTTTTTTTCAACTAGTGCTCATTTCGTGAAAGGTAACACTTAGCTCATGTCTGATTTGACAGATAATTAGTTTTATCCTTCCGCTAAACGAATATGGTTGTATATACGCTTGAACAACGCTGGGAAATATTGCGACATAGTTTGAAAATCATGGTAATGTTGCAGAATGTGTGCGAAAATTGCGTATGGATTTTGGAAGAAGAGAAGCACCGTCAGCTCCGTATGTTCGTTATCTTGTGAAAAAAGTGAAAGAAACTGGCATCCTCATCGATAAACCAAAGCGTGAAAAGCCAAAAACAGTGCGTACACCCGAGAATATTGATGCTGTGGCAGAAAGTGTGCGTGAAGAGCCATCATCATCAATTCACCGTCGTTCTCAACAATTGAACATTTCGGAGACATCATTGAGACGAATTTTGCATAAAGACCTTGGTATGACGCCATACAAAGTCCAATTGGTTCAGGAGTTGAAGCCAACTGACCATCCAATGCGTTTTCGCTTCGCTGAGTGGGCCTGCGATCGACTTACAGAAGATGCCGATTTTGCAAAAAAATCATCTTTTCGGATGAAGCTCATTTTGATCTTGGGTTACATACCCACCCGACAAGCAAAATTGTCGCATTTGGGGCACAGAAAACCCGCACGCATACATTGAAAAGCCGGTACACCCAAAACGAGTCACTGTTTGGTGCGGATGGCTCAAAAAAAAATGAATTGAAAAAAATGGAAAAATGGCTCAATTATGCCTCTGGACCAAAGGCATAATTGAGCCATTTTTCTTCGAAAATGAGCAAGGAGTGGCCGTTACAGTCAATGGCGATCGTTATCGGGCCATGTTGAATGAATTTTTGTTCACAAAAATTGAAGAGAAGGATATTGGCAACATTTGGTTTCAACAGGACGGCGCTACGTGCCACACAGCCGAAGCTACACTCGATGTTTTGCGCCCTGTTTTTGAAGATCGCATTATCAGCCGCAGAGCTGATGTCGTTTGGCCACCTCGGAGCTGCGATTTGACACCGCTGGACTATTATGTGCCCTCAAAGATAAGTGTTACGCCGACAAGCCAGAGACAATTGACGCTTTAAAGGACAATATTCGTGAAGCCATTGGTGAAATACAGCTGCACACAATCGATAATGTGCTTAAAAATTGGACCGATCGTGTAGGCTACTGCATGGCCAGCCGCGGCAGCCATTTGAATGAAATTATTTTCCATTATTAACGGGAAGGATTGTACTTTCAAATAAAAAAAATAATTTGAGAAAATATTCAGTAGTTTTTTTTATAGCATTTAAAAAAAAAAGTTATTTGGCGGACCCTTTATATATTCATAAAAATACAAAACATTATAAATATATATATAATTCGTATATACATATAATTCGGTACTATTAGGTAAATTTATTTATGTAATAAAATACCTATTGATTTTAAAATAAATGAGGGTCTTGAAATTTGTGTTCTATATTACTAAGGTTGTGGTAACGCTATGAGTTAATTAATTAATAAGATCCTTGTACCTTCATTGATTTAAGATTATCCTTTGGTAAAGCTGAAGCTACACTGTCGACTGGAGGACTCATTAACAAAGGATACCTACATATTAATCATTTAACATTACATATCTAAAATATTCATTGCATATTGGTTTTTATTAGCCATTACCTAAGTGACATAACTCCCACAACACCTACGATATGGATATGCGAAACGTTCAACATAAATTCTCACATAATAAACATCTCTTTTATGGGTCATTATAGTATACTAATTTGAAATAAAGCACTAACAGGTTTTTCTGTTTACTACAGGTTAGTGCCGTGGCAATGCACATCAGACCTGATCCGAGGATTAGTCCCCGATGCAGCGCCATTATCACCCGCGCATAGTACACCGACCGCACCCACTACTAAGGAGCCTTTGAGTAGCACCAAGAGAGAGTCAGCGCCTATGACGTTGGTCCCTCCGGCAAGACACGATAGACACGTTTGACATACTGTACAAATCTTACTGTAGAATAAAAATTACTTGGGAGGTGAGAGGTTAAGTTGATAGTCAAGAAATCATTCTAGTGACTCTTCCAAAACTAACAGAGGATCTTTGTTGATCGGCCGATGTTAAGTACCCTATTAAAAATTCATCAATACATCAAGGACAAAACGAATGACAGACGAAAAGTTCACTGATGTCTGCGGGCGAGTCAATATACCTTAAACGCTTCTGTGTGTTCCTTTTTGTCATAAATGTTCCGCATCAACGGTCACCATAAACTCAAATGTTCCGGCAGCTAATTTAAGTAAGTGGTTACCGAAGCGAGCCGACACGGACGCAAGGCCTGCGATTATTTGTGCCCGCAAATCGAAAAGATTTTTGTTTGTCTAGCGCTTGATGGTTATTTTTACAATCTCCCAAATCTCTTGTGTGTGATAGCGGTACTTTTTATATCGTTCTTACTGCACTTTAACTGCGCGGATATTTTAAGTTTACGACTTTATTGCATGCTACTTCCTGACTATGACTAAACCTCTCGTCGTACTTTGACGTTTGACGTTCTTTAACAACCGCTTGACGGTAATAGTTTAAACGCTAAGTTCACATAAAATTACGTGAGTAAGGTACAACATTAAGTAATGGTGAAACTTGACATTGTAATGTTCAACAATTCACACAATTGTAGATATAATGTTTCAATTACAACTTTAACTTTTATTGTGAATTTATAAATAGACGAGGCCTTATTATGTTAAAGTCGAAAAGTTTGGGCATTTATTATACATACACGGGATATCAACACTTTTATGCAACAAATTATTTTAGTTAAATAATTTGCTCTTCGTAGTTATTTTTGACGCCTCAAATAAAAATTGTTAAACAGTAAAGACAAATGTTAACTCGAGTTTACTAACTGGCATTGTTTTAACCCACACCTAAACTTATATTTATAACTAGCTATCTAGCGTTTTTTTTAATTTCTGAGCCTCTTTATTTAGTGGGAGCCAATTCTATATACGTGTAGGTACTTAGCTGTAAAATGGGACAGATGTAACTTTTAGTAAAAACTATTATTAAAGTTTTGTACGTACTAATTAAACCTACGGTGCTTAGTCAAACTAAGTTAATAATAAGATGATCAGAATGTGATTTATAAATAAGGATGTAAAAGTCTCTTACATTAAATGTAATTAAGTGGTATCTTTTTAATTAATGTAATTTTAGTACATGAAACGCTGGTTTAAAAATTATACTTTTTCATTGATAAATAAAGGAAAAAAACAGTGATGGTTATTTTCATTTTACCTGTAATATAGCCCGACGTAGTACAATGACCCTATATGTATAACACTTTAATTATAATTATAAAACACCCCACCCATCCCATTGTTTTTCTGTTTGTTTATTAGTTACGATTTCACGCCTAAGCTACTAAACCGGGCCTCACTTCTGCTTTTTTAGGTACACGCCACAGCGTACACATAAAAAAGAATATTACGTTTTTTTTGAGGCAATAATTTATTTATTTTTTCAAATATGGCAATCTTTTTGATATCATCACTGATGAGCCACTGCCATTCCATCGCCACTGTAAAGATACTGTAGACTACCGATATTATGACAGTGGCTAGGCGTGAACATAAAATAGCAGAATTGAGGGCCAGATTTCAAAAATACTTTCATCAATGGAAAGCTAAATTTTCGGCGAGTAACACAGACTACTTTTTACCGCGACAACCGACAACACACGAGCGAAGCCGCGGGCATAAGCTGGTTTCTTATAGTTTAAGAGATATATCCTCCATACGACAGCTAAATAGCTGGAATTAATAATTTGCAATTTATATTATTTAGCCGTGTGCAAATACCGTGATGAAAGTATGTAAAACAATAAAGAGCGTTCTGTTTGGGTCGTTTACCTCTTATAAAAAAATTATAAATAAAAGTACGAATGAGAATGTAACAAATTTTATTAAGATTTTGTAAATATGTATTTTTGTTATTTATATAGCTAAATTATTGACATCATATAAAAACTGTAACAAATTTTAGTTATTCAACAGTCTTTTTGCTATCATGTCGGTTGATCGGTAAACTATGTTGTAATTGACTTTTTTTTTATATTTGTTGCAAAAGTTAATATATATAAAATCACTTAGTTATAGATATTGATAGGTACGTATTCGTGTATAGATCCCCTATTTAAAATGGACTTTCGCGCGAAAGCACTTTTATTATGCTTCAAAAGAATCATCGTCGGGAGCAGCAAACATACATTTTGAATTTTAGCTTAAACGTGCATTTAAGAAAATAAAGAAAATATTATAACGTATTATAAAGAAGGGTAAATTTGAATTAGGTTTAATTAAAAGTTGGAGGTGTGTACCTACTCACAGTGTGAGTTTTCAGACGACTTATTAAATCACACCTCACTTACATTATTTAAATTAGACACCCTTACTTTCTAAAGACGGTTCTGACAATGTTTTGGCGAAACTGAGTAGGGTAACTTAGTGAACCGTACGAAATGTGCTTAAAGTTGAAATAAAGATATTGTTACGAATGGGGTATATAATAAATAAAAGTTGTCGGTTAATTATTTTATTTCACTGGATTTACAAACACACTACTAAGAATCACTATATATCTTGTTAGTCGCACTAGAAATTCGATCCGATGTTAATTCGCTGTGTCGTTTGTCGTGTGTCGTGTGTCGCTTTTATAGCGCATTTGAATTTTACTAGAAAGTTCCTAGTATTTGACAGTCCGTTCCAAACAAACACGAATATTCCAGAATCAGTCACGCGTTACTTGCAGCGCCATCTAGTAAGGATCAGAACTACTCGTATTTGTCCGATGAGAAAGGATCATATTAAAAGAACGCATCGATTAAGGTGCACACACCGCAGTGAATAGGTTAAAACTTCTCAAACTACCTATATCACGGATAGCAATTAAACCATGAAACGAATTATTTTAAGTAATACCTCAATGTTTAGTTATAACATTATAGGAGACAGGTAGCTGAAATCGACACCTGTCTGCTCAGCTGTAAACGGAAAGCGAACTAGCGCTCAATTTCGAGTTCTTGCTTTGGGCACACAATTACATTTTTTTTTCGACTACCACTTGTTATTCCATACTAAGAAACAACAGAATTAACCACAATAAATTTCTCGATCTCGATCAAATCATTAACGGCATTGTAAAGTTGACGGGTCGCTCGGGGTATCAATGTGCCTCTACATTTACAATAACCTTGGAAAATGAAAGAAATTATTCATTCATAAAAAAGAGGATAATTTTTATGCCTGTGACAACTAATAAAATAAAAGAAAATTATAACAAAAGTTTTATTTCTAGTTTACTTTTTTACAAGATAAGTACAACAGTTTTAGAGATGATTCATATTACATAGAGCGGCGTCCACACGACCAGAGTTATAGTATACGGTACGGGATCGAAATTTCGGTGGGTTCTAAGACTGAAAAAGACATCACAGACTCTACCACTTGCCAGGTCCTTAGAACATTATAAGTTTTTGTATGAAACTTACAAAATAAAGTACAAAATTATTTAAAAATACGTAAAAACATAATTAAAATGTTTGGTTCACAGAAATCATTATGTAGATAACATCAAAAAGTGTAGATTTTATGATAAATATTTTATTCATCCTAAAATAACAGGATTATTATTAAAGTACAGCAATTAACTACATAAAAATATATGAAACCTGTGTTCGTCCAAAGATTTGTTTTATCACAACTTAAATACTAGTCATAGTTCAATCATTCAACGTTCTTCAGTACCTACATTAGTATTTCGTCGCCAACTAATACCTAACTCGAAAAGTTGCACACAAAAGAAACTCATAATTTTGGTATTTTCTTTGATGACAATATTGAAACGATTATTATTTTCGTACAAATGAAAACTTAAATTATTATATTGGAATGAAATAATTATAACTTTCCACCTCTCGAAATAATTCCTTGGGATGCACATTTGAACTCTAATGAAAACTATAACATCTGTATTAAGTACATGCTTATGATCCACAATAAAGAATACTATTACTATTTGTACAATTCCAAAGATTGATGAATGAAGAGAATGAAGATACGTATATCTTGTTTAATGGTGACCGAGCGAAGAGAACAATGGCACCTAAATATTGCACATCGCGAGGTCGTCAATCCTCATTATGAGTAGTGATAATACTGGTTTATTTGGCAATAAGAACTGGTCTGGACTGATCCATCCCCTGACAAAATAAGTGATAACAACGCAATCATTTTCATCAGCAGTAAGTTATTGCGACACTAGTGTAAAACTATCATATTAACGTAAGTAAATCTGTATTACGAGTATACATCAGTTATTTTCTTTCTTATAAAATAAACAACAAAGTTTAAAATAAAAACACCGTTAGACTAGTGGGAATCATTTATATTAAAGTGTACTAATAAACTGTATTTGTAAAGACAGTTGAAATATTTATTTCAAATACAAACAACAATATGGTATGGGACGTTATAGGATCAAGAAATGCCTCTCCATCATTTGCCTCATAAAGATTGTGTCCCTCATTGATCTCCACTATGTTATTTTTTTTTCCATAATATCATGGCCGACAGTGATTAACATTAAATTTATTATTTATCTATCAATGTTAACAAAATTATTTAATAGGACAATTTGGTAACGAAAATTTGGTTTCTAGACCTGTCAGTTAAAGCAAAAGAAAAAACATGAAATGGTGCTAAACTCTCTAAATTCTTCTAAAAAAGGTCAGTGAATTAAATCCAAACTTTAAATGAATTATAGTCTATTTTAGACTAACAGACTATCTGTAGCTTGAATAATTACGCTCATGTAAGATAAGAGTAAGGTGATAGTCCTTAAGTCTGGAACTTTTAAAGTTTAATCTGTGGTCACGCCAAGTTAACAATTACTTTTACTGAAAATATTTTTTGATGTTTTTAACGAAACTTGTTTGCGTGCCCCAAAATACTCTACTTAACTAACTCTTAAGTATATCCTAAGATTATTGACTAAGGAATCAACGAAGAGTATCTAGTAAATTTAGAAAACTAATCACTTTTATCCCTAGGAAAAGAATCAGGCAGTTTAAACTCAGATATAGGCGATATGTACAAAGGATTTAATTCTTGCATGTTCTTTCTACTTTCTTGAGCTTCTTTGACAAACCTTGCATATGCTCTTCTGTCAGACACAATTTGCCCTGTTCTGACAACCATGATTCCCACTAGCCCAGCTGCTATCACACAGCCCATGATGACGAGACCACTGGTCATGATTTTAGCACTCGTTGGTTGGTAACACTCTTTGGATCTGATGACAATTTCTACGCCTACCAAGGAGTCGGATGCTGCGGTGTAGGTGTACGTGTACTGACATTCCAAACCTTCGCTGTCATCGTTTTGCAGTCGTAATATGCAAGTCGTTTCGTCTGTACTCGCTTCTGTGGATAAAACAACAGTATTACAAGTCTAGTAGTGTAGTTGCTCAGATAGCCGAAACCTAATCTAAGAGTAATTGTTACTTCCTTGGTGTTTAGCAATGATAGCTATCAATGTTATTCGCTCTGCCTTGGCATCAGCCGATAATCTAGTCAAAAGATACCTCCTAGTAATGTCTACGTACAACCAAATAAAGCTTATTGATTTAGGTCCAGTTACATATTGAAGGTAAAAAAATACATTTTAGACGACAATCGAGCGCTTCGCCACAGTAATTTGGAATAAAATCGGACCTTAATAAAATAAGGTGTTTAATTAACTCATAGTTTTAATAGTATTACTGACACTGTGTTCTTCTTCTGGATGTACTTTCTAGTCTTAGAAACATCTCTCATTATTATCTTATCGTTAAGATTAAACTTATCTCATTCATATGCATATCATAATAGCGCAAGCAAACAGTTAGCTATCTTATAATAACGGTGAGCAATATAAAGCTACTGTAATTAATAACACCAAGGTGGTGTTGAGTTGATCACTGTTATAATGCCAACACCGCAAAACCGCATCACAGACAACGATTGTCATTTACCTTTCAAATACAAACCGCATAGTAATTACTAAACATTCAGTGTAATGAGCCACTTTCCAGCACCGTATCGTGCATAACTTAGAATTATTAAAAAATTCACTGGTTATTTGGTTGACATTGACAAACTAATTATTACTGTTGTAACTATAGAGTGCGGGTAAACACTTTCAAATCTTTAAAATTTGATTTGACTCCTAAGACATACTGTAAAAAGGAAAATGAAAAAATAAAAATTGAAATGTGATGACGCGAAGTATAAGTTTTGGAAGAAACTTGAATTAATAGAATTTGTATCGTTCATGGTCATCAAGTACAGACAAGTCTTGTCATATTTATACATAGACGATGTCATAATTTTAAGTGCATTTTTAAGTCATTTTTTACAAATTAAATTTAAATGTCAAACTGTAAATAGGATAAGTTAAGTGGATACGTCGGTTTTATTTGCCTTAAAACAAAACCTTATAAGTAACAGAACTTATAAAATTTCTATTGTCTTTCTAAATAGGTTTGGACAAAGTAGGTGCTGCTACGTAGAGTATAGTACTTTATCAGTACACATTAAAACAGATATAGTCTTGATACAGTATATGAACTTTTGACAATCTCTAATTTTTTAAACAAAACAAAGCAACAGAAAAAAGAGCGGATGTTTCATTTTAAAACCACACCGGCGTAATGTGGAAAGCGAGAAAACCAAATTTTAGCCAAGAATCAAAGATCACTTAACACACACATTTAAGGTTCACCCATTTTTTTTTTATTTAATGGGACATTAAACAGTTACACGTTGGGTAAAAACTAGTTTAAAATTAGAGTAAATAATTTGTTGAGTGAACGTGCAACCAGCACCAATGTCCACGAAATAATATTTGAAGGAACGAAGTGTAAATCGTGCGTATTTCATAATATTTTAATTTTATACAAATTATGGAAGTTAAAGCCTAATGCGAAGTTTTAAAAATTTGAGTTGCTGCAATTTAGAATTATGTTTGCGACTGTGCGAAAAATGACAACATTGGCAAGGTGTGTGTTGTACGTTTCCACAATGTAACGGAGGCTTAATAAGTTGTATTCTACAAGAAGATCTTGACAGGGTAATTTAGAATGGTGAAATTTGTAGTGTATGGTTCTCAAAAAAAATATTTTGAACCATCTCAAGTCGGGTTACATACTTGTCACATATAGGATCCCAAATTGGAACCACAAAGTCTAGTTGAGATCCTATAAGAGTATTATATAGGAGTAGTAAAGTAGACGGGCGCTTGAAATCTTTGGAAGATCTCATAACAAAGCCATACATATGAAAAGATTTACTAATAATATTGTGTATATGTGGATCTAGATGTAGTTTTGAGTCAATGGTGTCACCCAAGTCACGAATGTAGTCAACCTTTTGTAAAGCAATGTCGAGTAAAGTGTAATTGTGTATTATGATTTTCTTCTTCTTTGAGTTATTGCTTTACATTTGATGATGCTGAGGTGTAGTTATTACGAGTGTATACAATATAGTGAAAGTTGGTTTATGTCGCCTTGTTAAAGTAAGCATTATTGCAGACTATAGCACTCCTCGTAAATTTTGATGTCATCAGCATACATTATAAAGTGTGAGTTAGTAAGACAATGTCCAATATCATTGACAAACAGAATAAAAGAAGAGGGCCCAGGATTGATCCCTGGGGCACCCCGGAAGTAACAGTTATGGAGTCAGATTCGAAGCCACTGATTACTACTTTTTGAGTCCTATTAATAATGTAAGATGTGAACCAGCGTATTAAATACGGAAACGAAACAAAACACCCGCGTAGAACTGACATGCACTAGTTACAATATAACTGGTGCGGTTAGATTACACTACTTGAATGCACTTGACACTATAATAAAAATAATTTGTGTGTTAATGAATATTTTACCTGTAACTAGACATTTTATTGATATTATGAAAAGTGTATTTGAGGGGTTTGTTTTTACAAGCCTCTAGTAATGGTATAGGGAACAAACGAGCAGATGGCTCACCTGATGGTAAATGACTTTGATCATAAGTGCGTTTTCAAACGCTCTTATGAGCAATAACCTGTGATAACCTCAAATTGAAATGCAATGAAACAATTGCTGATTACACACTGGTTTTCTATAACTCCATGGTATCACGCAGGTCGAGCAACCCCTTATATGCTGAAGCATGGCTCTCCCACTTTCCAATAAACTGACTCAGTTTTCTACTTACTTAGTTTTCTATTAGAAACTTTCGTGTGTGGCTCGGCTCGCTTATAAATAAGTTTTTCTGTCAGTGTCTCAGGAACTAAACTTTTTGTAAATGATAAGTATCTACCCTACTTTCTAATATGTAACTTTAGCAATTTTTATGCAAAGCAAACTCTCGCATTTATAGTATAGGTACGTTAGGAGAGACCTGGCCTCGAGCACGAACAACTTGCGAAATAGTATTCGTATCGTCTTCGACAAAAATTTATATGAAATTTGTGCAGCGTGGACTCGATACGTTTACGATACGCATTCGATCATTTTTCGTGCTCGAGGCACTAGTGAGTCCAATCTTGGCATCTCAAAATACTTTCATATTTATATAAAATGAAATCCACATGAAGAACAGCTTCAACAAACCGAATAGTGCCACTAAATTTTATACACATTATTTATACTTCACACAAATTAGGCACATCTTTAGAAATGTGTTACACATGTGTGAAAATAGCAATAAAAATATGAAAAGAACCAAAGCCGAGAAAATTGTGATAAAATTGTGATAATTTTGATCCCAACATAACCGTTTAACTTTGTGTTAGAGAGACATATTATTATTATCCGATACTCCACAAATATATTATTAAGTAAACAATCTTCTATGTTTAAAACATAAAAATAACTTTTAAATTCATAAACTTTTTTACCTATAGCCATATAATTCTCGCTGAGAGTATAGTTGACATTTCCATTACTGCAAACATCTGTGCAGTTATTGTTCTGTGACAAGTGGCATGTGACACAAGGTTCAGCATGCATACAAAGAGGATTTTCACACGTAGCACAAGTTTCGCAGAATAGTCCCGAATATTTGAAGCCGTTGTCGTCTGCGACGGAACATTCACATCGACCTGAAATGAAATGATGTTGAAAAGAAATTACATGATTTAGTGAATTATGCAGAAGCACTTGATAGTACTTAGAATAACGAAAAATATTTGATCTTCTATATCTACATATATTATACTAGCTGGCCCGCGCAACTTCGTCTGCGTCTCTCAATAGTAATAATTTTTCTCCGTTTTTGAAACATTCTTCATTGGTGCTCCGCTCCTATTGGTCTTAGCGTGATGATGATATAGCCTATAGCCTTCCTCGATAAATGGGCTATCTAACACTGAAATAATTTTTCAAATCGGACCAGTAGTTCCTGAGATTAGCGCGTTCAAACAAACAAACAAACAAACAAACAAACAAAAAAACTCTTCAGCTTTATAATATTTATATAGATAAAATGTTAAGTTGGTTTGTGTACGCTTCAAAAACTCAAAAAGTTCTACACCGATTGAGCTGAAATTTTGACACAATGTACAACACGCTTCAAAGATAGATTTTGTCTAATCTATCTTTTCCTTCCCAATTAACATCAATGCCGCCAAAATGTATCACAGCGAAGCGTGGCAGGATGCAGCTAGTTTTTTTATAAAGAACTAGCGATCCACACCGGCTTCGCACGGGTGGTGTCAGTGTGGAGTGTGGAGTAAATAATTATACTATAATTATGATAGGACTATACTACAGCACATCTTTAAATGCAATATTTATAGGCCTGCTCCGATCCCACCGGCCGCTGTCACCCGGGACAGGCGTACGGTCGTTGGGTCCCCCCATTTTAAACCTATAATATCTTCTAAAATAATTATTTTAATGATATATTGTAAAGAGCAATTTCAATTTACATTAAATGCACAACGTTTCTAATGTATTTAATTGGATAAGGAATAATAACGTATTGTTTTAAATAGCTTCGTATTTCTATTTTTTTTTAATTTAAAAGGGTAAAATGGTTTTTGTGGGTTACCTTTAGGTGATAGACATAATAATACACCATCGTGAACTTTTTTGTAGATCTTTTGAAGATATATAATTGAAGATTATAAATATTAAAAAATTGGTGCAAGCACTTTTCGACTTTATAAATCCTTAATATTAGGTCTTTACCTATGAAATTGCCGTTTTATATGCAATAAGTGAAAGTACTTATTTTTTCAAACTTTTTTATTTCTGTTATTCGAAGTAATCACCCATGCAATCGACGCATCTTTGGCAACGCATTGGCAGTTTATTGATGCCCTTCTTGTAAAAATCAGCTGGACGGGAGGCAACCAACTCTTCAAAGGCATTTTGTACTGCCTCTCGAGAATTGAATTTTTTACCCACTAAAAAGTTGTCAAAATTTTGGAAAAAGTAATAGTCGGTAGGTGCAAGGTCTGGTGGTCACATCTGCAACCAGCTTTGGTCCATCGGTCGTCCCCACTGCTCCTTCACGACAACGCGCGACCCCATAGTGCGCAACAGACAGTCTCCAAGCTGCAAGAGCTGGGATTGGAAGCTCTCCCTCATCCGCCATACTCACCAGACCTTGCACCTACCGAAATTTTGCCAAAATTTAGACACCTTTTTAGTCGGTAAAAAATTCAATTCCCGAGAGGCAGTACAAAATGCCTTTTTAGGTGTGGAAAACCCCTCGGGCCGTCACCCCACCGGGGTTTCCGGCGGGGTGGTGTGTCGGAATTGGACCGACTAAAACCACACGGCGTGCCACTTTGCGCTTATAATAGGAGGGATCCGGGAACTACTGTTATTAAGACATCTAGACCCATCTAAGTTATACTAGCCTAGCCTTTTTTTTATTGTAAATAATGTAGTACTTAATTTTGCATACCTAAACAGCCAGAACAACCCTTGGACCTTGTATCATGAAACACATAAGATATAAAGAATTATGTACCCCATTACCGTTAATAAAATAAAACAAACTCTCCCCCATTCCGCAGTGGTACTTTACATCGTAAGAATGCATCGGTGCTAAGAAATATAATTCTGTCTTATTACCTGGTTCTTTAAAGACGAAATTTCTGCAAAGATTGACTCACGCGACGTGATTAATCAGCTCATTAAATTATATTATATTTTTTTCAAGTGACAGATTTGGTGACCTTATTTAGGTATAACGCTGAACAGTTAAACACCGTGAATACTCGCTATAACAACATTATTTTGGGCACAGCGACAATGTCAAGTGATGTCACTCAATGCTCAACAAAACCAATCACAATATTTGTTAATACTTGTACTACCATCGCAGTTATTTTGTCGTAAGACAACTTTGTCCATTATCACTTAATTCGACAACGATGGTAACAAGAGTGCATCGCACTTCTCATATGCGTTATACAAATATGTGCCATGCCAGAGACTGAAATGATATTGCATGTTATTTGTTAATTAGCGGTTTGTGATGGAGATGACACGCAATCGTTTGAAATGCGTTAAGTCCATTACAAGCTGTGAGTTGTTAAGTATGTGTGTATTACAGGTAAGACAATATGACGTGTTAATTTGCTTCCAACCACTGTTTCGTAAAACAAGATATTTCTTAACAGGTTTTTATCAATGTTTCCTGTAAATATGTATGTACACTAGAAATGTGTTGTGTATTAACGAATTCTTTGGATTGAAGGAATAGAGTGGACAGAATTGTCATATAAAAAATTAACATATTTTCATTCTTCATTGGAATAAGAATGTACAGTATTTATTATATATATATAACTATATATATATATAACTTATTTTCATCTCGGTGTTTTGCGTATTATAAAATAAGAGTGACCAGTTCCATATCAAAAACATCAATATGTGAAAAAATTGACAGTAAATTGTAATATAAAGGTAGATAAGAAGTTAAGACAATAAAAAGAAAGAGAAATCCATTCAACTTTGTACACTTCTAAATAACATACCAGATCAAGTTCACATACCTACCTATCACTTTAACTAAAGGCTAACTCTCGTAATAAAAGTTCGGTCACTATTCAGTTCCGATCAACTCTCGATCAATCTTACAACTGTCATAAAAGGTATTTTCGTAGTAAAATATTAAACATCCAACGTTGACTGTAATGTGATTATATCGTATTGTAACAGAAAACCTCCTTTCTTAGGAGAGGCCCATGTCCAGCAGTGGATTAGAAAAGGCTGTGGATGTAACAGAAAATTGAATCGGTAATCTGCTAGTCCTAGTAATACTTTACTATTACTACGAAAATACATTTTATGGCAGTTGCGAGATCGAGAGTTGATCGGAACTGAATTGTGAAATAACTTTTATTACGATAATAGAACTTCTGGCTGTTGCCGGAAAAACGTAGCCCTCTCTAATAAATAGCATAGTTTGAATTTCACTTGCGACTCCCTATTCTCTTCTTCAACACGTGAAGTAAAATTATAAAACATCTGTCTGCGATATGGGCAACTTACCGCACACACACTCTCCATGCCCAGAGCACATATCTCCGTCGTTAGGTGGTACACAGGTGTCATTCTTATCGGTGCAGTCGCAAGCGGCGCCACTCCAACCAGGGGCGCACGCGCACGTGCCGCACACGCAGTCCCCGCGCCCTATGCCACCACACTCAATGCCGTTCTCACTGAAAGTATGGAATGTTCAGTATTAATGTCACGCTTTTTGAGAAGGTACACCTTGAGAAGGTACAAGCCCTTCAAAACTATGTTAAGGTCTAAAGAATGCTTCGATATGAAATCATCAACTATTTTCCTACCTAATCACACATATCTTTTTACCAAGTCCATTTTGACCTTATTATCGATCTAAGATCAGTGTCTTTTTCTTTTTGGTTGTGTATTGCACAAAGCCAAAAAGAGAAAGACACTGAAGCCCTATTGGTATTTTTTTTGTTTTATTTATGTTACCACTTTAGGATCCAATCTTTCAATCAGACTAATCTATTTACGAAAGTTATTAAACAATTGATACGCTCGAAACGTGATGAGAAGGACTAGTTCAAGAAGATTGATGACCCATAACTACATAGATTGAGGGTTCCGTTTTTATTTTATGGTAAAGGAGGCAAAATACCAAACGCGTCACCTGATGGTAAGTAACTACTGCCGCCCATGGACACCTGCTACTCAAGAGTTACAAGTGCATCGCGGCCCTTTGGACCCTCCCCAGAATCAGGGGAAGAAAGGGTTTGAGTCCCGGTAACCTCATACACTCGGTGAAACCATAGAAAAAAAATTGCTCAACATCGGTTTTTTATGAGGCCGAGGTATCACTCCGGTCGAGCCAAACCATTTGTACCGAAACATATCTCTCTCACGGCTAAAATGTAAAACTAGAAGTTATCTTTTTATTAGTCTAAATTAATATTGTACTGTGACTTTATTTTATAAACTCTTCACTAAAAAAAACTTGTTAGTAATAGTGGTTCACTCGCTACTAATTAGGTAACGTATCCAAGGATCCACGCAAATTTAAGAACATTTTTGTGCTCAATGTTTGTCTTATTTAATTAAATGAAGAATTCTGTAACAGTGATTGTTGCTGGACAATCTTATAATTTTTTTACAGAAACAATAATTGCATTTTATAATGTTTTTTTATCCTTTTCCATCTGCAGACATCCTAACAGCGCGGCTTATCTTAGAGACTATTAGTACTACTAAAGACGTTATTTTACACTGGTTAATGAGTGGAAAAACAACATTTGGAGAAAAACTTGTTAGAATTAACTGGTCTCCACATCCAGTGCCTAAACTATTGAGTTGAAAAATCAGAAAAAATCTACGTTCATGTAACTTTTAGAAAAATATAACTTACATATAAAATGTACCTACTACTTGGAATTTTTTTTGTACGTAATAAAATTTTAATATCAAATCCTAAAAATTGAAGATAAAATTATATTTTTTTAAGAGATAGAATCAAACTACGAAATTCTATACTGTATACACAAGCACTTAAACTGTTTTTTTTAGTATAATTAATTATGAATATTCGTCTTGAACTTCTACTTTAGCCCACTTTAGCTCTAGACCGCTAATGCCTATTCTAGCTTTGTTTAAACAAGAATACAATGCAACAGTACATTTTACGCTCATTACTATTATATTATATAGTTAGGCAGTGTTGGAAACAGTAATATACGTTAGCACTGATTTTTTTTGTATACAAAATCAGTGTGTTTACCTCTACAAGTTCTCAATCCACTGATACACTGTACGCCTATCGAAATGTAAGTCGTCTAAAAGCAGCTATTTTACTACGATGTTACCCAACAATATCAGTGTGAGCGTAAGAAACAGCACGTATTTCCAAATGAGACAAGTAAACACATTCCGCACTTACCAGAAATATCGTCGAGTGCCCATAGTCAATAACATGAACACAGAAATTTAGCAATTTCCGCCTTCTGGTTAAAATCAACACGGTGTTTTGGACGAAAATAGATTTATTTACTATTACGGAAGCGATGGTAGTAATATTGATTACCAGCTAAAAGAAACACTTTCATTTGAGAAGTGTTTTAAAAATTCCAACATCCGACATATTCGTTTACTACCTTATTATTATAATGTCTAATTCATGCGAATGGTTGTTATTAGTTTTTAGTATCTCTTAGTACGACTACGTCACTCAAAATCATTTGATTTCTATTGCAATGGTCTTTAAGTCGTAGAAGATTTGCTATAGATAGTAATTATTTTATCCGAACCGACTTATGCCAATTGCAACTGTTCAACAGTTGTGTAGTCCTGGTCGATGACAATATTCAAATTGTTAATGCTTATAAAAATATTGGTTTCGTTTCACGGAATTTAATAAAATTAGACATAAATTGTTTCCTAGAGTAAAACGGGTGCCCTGGTTTTTAACTAGCGAGCGATACTAAATCAATACTTACATACTAATCTCACAAGACTTGCACTGACAATATTTGCCATTGAACCCTGGATCGCATTCACATTTGCCGCACAAACAATCACCAGCTCCCGAACAAGCTATGGTGCGTGTTGCATTTGGTTCGCGGCACTGAGCCATGAGCTCGGCGGACGCTTTCTCATCTCCTATAGAACAGTCACATAACGGACCTGACCTGTAATAAAAAACAACAATACCAATATATAAAGGGTGGTTGCTTTATATATTTCTTTATTTGTATATCAACGTGTACTAACTATAGCGCACATCGGGCAAGGCTTATGTCCAGCGGTGAACAGCAATAGCCTAATTGATAAATTGTACTTGTTCATGCAAAATAGACGGTTAATGTTATTGCACCACTCCCATAGGTCGTTGTGAGCTGTGTAATGCCTTATAACCTTCTTTAATAAATGAGCTTGTTATTCCTGCGATTACCACATTTAAACATACAAACAAGAAACTTAAGATTTATATGTGACGAGCCTGTTGGTCCCGAGTCGACGAGATCTAAAAATCGACCCCTATTTTAATTAAGAGGAGTCGATTTTTAGACCTCAAATTCTTATTTGAAACTTTTAAGATGTACTGTATAGCTGTGTATATTTTTTTTTTTATATTTATCTATGTCTGAAGTTATTATCATTATATTAACCATAGATAAATGTGATCTCACCATCCTTCGTTGCACTGACATACACCGCACACCATGTGCGAGTTCACGGGACACATGAGCGTCATGGTTTTTGAGGATTCGATATTGCACTGGCATCCACATTGAATCTCAACTTCTAATGTTAAGGCGTCCTGGCCCAGTTGGGTTTCTGATATCCGAATTACTTCTTTAGACTGTGATAGCAAACATATAACACAATTAAATATAGCGAAGTTAAATAAAGACTGAAATCTAATTCTTATACTCAAATAAACCTCTCTGAATGTAGATGCTATTTCCTCTCAGAGTGCTATTGTAGAATTAATAAATTTTTAATAATTTAATTACCGTGGCAAACACCATGCAGACTGCTTGTGGAAAATAGACTTTGCGTTGTCTTATATGGTTGGGAAATAATGTTTTAAAAGGTCAGTTATCCTTTACAAATAACAAAATAGGGAATTTTTACTTACTGATTTAAATTCTACACATGATTCAAGCGTAATATGAGCTTCATATCGAAGGATCATTCCATATTCTACTCCGGTGCATTTAGTTTCTTCCACCAACGGACCGCCCTTTATGCCACAATCGGTAAAGTAGCGAATCTTCAATGGCCCCGAACCGTAATTGTCTTGAAAATTCACGACACTAACGATGTCTTCATATCCCATTTTGACTAGCTTTAATATGTTCGAACTGTCGCTTTCCAGCTTAGCGACATACGTATAATCTTCGAGCAATTGGTTCAGGCTATCATAATGATCTTTTACGCTTTCCGTGACCGCAAAAATTACATTGACCTAGAAACGAATATTATGGTAAGCAAATATCAACACCGATAATTTACTGTTAAGATGGAATATATGAATATACTTATTCAAACACACTATACGTTTGTTGGGTGTCATGAAAATATAGATGATAGTGAATCATATTAAGATAGACTAGGAAAACTAATGTAAGAAATAAACAAAGAATTAACTCTTAATTATGCTGTTATTCACATTCCTAATTTAAATTAAAAGTTTCGTTTTAACTGTGTATAACTTTATAAGATCATAGGATCATAGGATTGACTGCACGGATGGCGTAGTGGTTTAAGCGGTCGCCACGCCGCTTCCTACTACGCCGAGTGTTGTGGGTTCAAACCCCACATGGGACGACACTTTGTGTGATCCACAAATTGTTGTTCCAAGTCTGGGTGTTATTTGTGTCCGTTTCATGTATGTTTGTAAAGTCCCCCGCGACACAGGATATTTTCCTAATGCGGGAGTTGTCTTTTTAAAAAAAAGAAAAAGAAAGAAAAGATTGTTTACTTTATGGTATACTTAATTATATTAAAAACCAACATTAAATTGTGAAATATATTTAGTAAAGTCGAAAGATACTTAGAGAGAGACCACGTAATTATACAATATTTAAACTAGGTAAAACACTAAACTAAAACACGGTAAAACACCGTGTATGCTTTGTAAAATGAACAATAGTGGTGTTAGTTACAAGCATATAGTTTTATAAATTTCACATATCCATAAGATATGTAACAAAAGCAGCAATTATGTACGAAAAGACTTTTAAGACTACAGAAAATTACGGGTGTACAGAACCATATCAGCCCTTCAGGTTCTCCAAAATTCTTTAGGAATAAGTTCAAGTGTTTTCGAGGTCCATATTTCAATTTGTCAATGAATCTTAATACCTTGATGTTGCTAAAGATAGTATAATATAAGACAAAAACATAATAGGTATTAGGTAACTAATTATGATGGGGAAACTACGATGTTCAATCTAACAAAATGTTATTATAATAGACCTTAATAACTGATGTTGTACAGCAAAAAGCTGCTAACCTACTTAATTCGAGTAAACATAGGCAACTAAGTTTACATCTGTAGGTATGTTTATATTTACATAATACATGTGGTTTAATCCAAACGTAAAAAATAGAATAATATTTACCTTGTACTTATCCAAGAGTCTAAACATTTGCGCAATCGATGGATAGTCGTAAGTTGCTGCGTCCGAGTAATACCCGTTGTCGTCTAAATGACAAGTCTCGTCGTTTTTCTTCGTGGCCCCACCTACAATGTAGTTATCGTTTATTAACTGCCATTTTATGAATGAAAGTCGGCAGGGAGTTTATTTCGTCTATCTAGGAATATCCAAATCGATAATACAAATATTTCTTAGTTAATATTGTCTTAAGTACTAAGGTGCCGTTGGCAAATCGACTATGGTCGGAAATTAAAGAAAAGAAACGTTCACTTAATATTGTTGGTTGAACTAGAAAAAGTAGTATAAACAAGTTTAAAGAAAGGAGAAGAAATTATTTACACTTCACTCTTGTCATTATCACTTTCCGAAAAAATAAATATACATAGAAAGACACATCGCTGAAAGTATTTTAGAAATTACCCTCACTCACCAAGCTTTCCATCCCCTGCTATGTGCATCAGTCCGTCAGAGAGCAAGATAACAATCTTTCGGCTTCGTGTAGACCATCCGATTTTGTCACCACAGGAGATAACTTGCACAAGAGCATCTAACTGAGCTTCAGCATTATCTAAATTGGCTGTCACTGAACTACTGTTTACATGCTCGATAAATTCGTTTATCTGAAATTAAGAAAAAAGATTGATTTCTATATCCACTCTCTGAAAATGAGAACATTTAATCGTAGCATCAAAGGACTTCTAGCTTATTTCATCTCATTTTTAATAACGACATAGCTAACTAATTTATTAATACCCATGTATTAATATAAACGAAAAATATTTAGTCCTTGCAAAAAACAGTAAAATATAAAACTAACACCCTAAACAACAAATAAATGAACTGGGACAAATTATATACTTATGTGTACGTTATGTAATGCTATGCACAGAATACCCTGCAACAACAGAAACCATTTTTACTTTCACTCAAACTTTTTCAATATTCTATCAACCTTGATAGTTTTACTATGGTAGTAGTATTAATTCAATAAATAAAAAGTTCATAAATAAAAATTACGTATAAAGAATGTTTTATAAAAAATATTTGGTTCTTTTTTGTAGGACGTTTCAGGGTACATCCGAAACGACACCTAAGAATAATAATAATCGGCGAACACGAAGGGCTTTCCTTGCTATCTCTTTTGGAATTATTGTCTTCACTTATTTAATGCACTACTGCACTTATATTTTAAACAAAACCAAATCGGAAATGTTTTTTTTTTATTAACATACTACAACGTAGCATACGAAAAGAATTTCTTTATTATGTGTTAAGAATAATTAGGAAAAACTGTTCTATATTACATAAAAGTGTTATTCCTTACAATGCCTTTGTTATGTACGAAATAATAGAGTGGTCGAAAACAGATTTTTTTACTTTAAAATGCTTTTAAGGCTCGTTGATGTTATGTCGTCTTGAAATGATGTCATGCCTGTGTTTGTCAACAGTAAACATTGAATGCATAAGCGATAATTTGAATATTATTTGCGTTGGAAAAGAAGTAAAAATAAAAATTGTAGGCGATAGTTTAGTACAATAGCTTATATATATATATATATATATATATATATATATAGCAATAGTTATATATAATCTATCGCATACACAAAAGAAAGCAATAAATAACTTTTTATTTTTCTTCGAAAAATCAATACCAATGACCGCCTAATCTTGGAGATCCTACGTTTGTTTGCCTAAATTCTCCTATTCATATCTGCTGTCAAGACGTGTGTCAAAACGAATTTCATATACGTATGTGTTAGCTTAAATAGGTAGATGGTGGGAGAAAAAAAATCAGTTCCATGATTAACATTCCTTGATTTTAGTTTGTAAAACCAAACGAGATAACTGATTGTTTGGAATCACAACATACTTGACGATCAGTAATAATCACAGATAATGAATACAGAGTACTAGATGTCAAAGTGCAATGGTTACACATAATAATAATAATATGTTAGTGTAGTGGACATAGACTTGACATATTTCTCTTTCATTGGTATTACAAAATACATATGTATGTGGACGTCTTAGCAGACTGGTAATCCGAATGGTTGTCGGCACTATTCGGATTTCCAGTCTACGCCTAGCCCTGAACCGACAACTATTCATCATCAATGCGACAGACAGCCCTCTGTGCAGGGGATGTCTAGAAGCAGAAGAAACGGCCGCCTACGTAATCCTGGAATGCGAGGGAGTGGCCACACAAGGGGCAAGTATCATTCCCGATACAAAATCGCTCCTAGAAGCCTGTGAACGCCCCAAGAGGCTTCTACGCTTCTGGAAGGAGCTTGGTTGGCTCACCTAGCTAACCAGTCCTCGACGCATAAAGGACCACTCGTGAGTCTAAATGCGGAAACCGAAGCCCACAACCAATACCAATAGTCTTGCCACCTACTAAATAAGTCAGAGAAGTCAAATTACTCGTATAGCTCGCAAAATGTAAGCGTTTTAAAAAGCCTGTCCTGTCTATCTGCGGGGACACAAGACTTTGAATGTGTTTGATGTGGTGATTCTTGGACCAAGAATCACCTGGTTGCTGCTTTTATACATTTTATATTCCTTTCCTTCAGCCTGACTGTGACTTACCTATGACAATTTTTTCTAACCTATCAAATAATTATATAAAAGATACTAAAACATCTTCATCAATCACTAACACGATTGAAAGAGGCACAAATTCAATTCAAAAATTACCACTTGACACATCGAAATCAGCCGGGCCTGATAATATTTCACCCAAATTACTAATAAGCTGTACTAAAACTAGCGCCTATAAAACCTTATCTTTATTGTTCCAAAATTCACTCGTTATTTACAATGTACCTCAAATTTGGAAATCTGCATTCATAATGCCAGTACATAAAAAAGGGTCCAAGGCTGAAATTGTTAGCTATAGACCGATCTCGAAACTGTGTGTCATAGCGAAAGTTTTCGTCTATGATCACTTCTATGCAGCAGTCCGGCTATCCCTTAGCTCTTCACAACACGGTTTCGTTAAAGGCAGGTCGACTGTCACTAACCTAATTATCCTAAATTATTTAATAACGAGTAACTGGATAAGGGAGCGCAGTTCGATGTCGTCTACAGAGAGTACAGTAAACGTTTTGACCATATAGATCACAGCATCCTAAAATCTAAACTTAACTTAAGTAACATCGGAATAAGGGGTGATTTGCAAGCAGTAGTTATTATCAATTTTATTTCTAGTTGGGTTTCCATGCCTAGCGGGGTACCGCAAGGCTCACTACTCGGACCACTACTCTTCATAATCTATGTGAACGACATTGACTTATGCTTCCAATTTAGAGGACATTTAGAGGACGTGAAGTGACGTTCTGTAATAAGACTTAACGCGTTTGGATTGTCAACGTAACAAACTAGACCTAACCACTCAAATGTAATGTAGTTTCTTACAGGAGAAAGCATGACACTGTACCATCGACGTACGAACTCAAAGGACAAGTACTGGATAAACGTGATGTCGTTCATGATTTAGGCGTCCACCATGAATCCAAACTTCTTTTTGATATCCATGTTGATGAGATTATCGCAAAGGCTTCTAAAGCACATGCTTGCTTCCAAAAAGCTAAAACGCTGGAGATCTTGTACTGTACTTATGTCAGAAGCCATCTCGAATATGCCTCACAAATATGGAACCCTTACTATGGCAAGTACATAAGCCGTATTGAAAATGTCCGAAAACGTTTTATAAGATTTCTATGTCATCACCTTCGAATACATATTTATATATATACAACGAAATTGACAGCCCTGACCTATTGCACAAGCTTAAATTCCCCCTCATCTTCAAATTACAGAAAGAATTCTTATATGGTGCGAGCAAGTAAAGACTTTGTATAAATTGAAATATGTTACATTGCTCTTCGATAGATGTCGCTGTGCCGTTTGGCTAAATCGCGTTATGGTTTCGTTACCGCAATCAATATAAATTGATTTGATTTCTTTGTATTGAACGAACATCCTTTTACCTATTGTGTACAGTGTTACCTAGTGATTAATAAAACTAGTTGTAAAGAGTCAGTGGTTATAATTAAGGCTCCTGGGGATCCATTTGTACATGGTCCTTCGAGCCGGATACAGTGCGCGGTAGTGTCGACGCGTGCAATTTTTAGTGCTTCACCAGCGTAGAAATCAGAGTGGATCGCTCTGAAGTGCTGCCGCCGCTTAACGCCACGAAGAGGCCTCAGCGACGTATTCCGTCAACAGCAGTGGGCGCCACGGGTGTGGAGTCTCTTGGCTGTCAGCAGCGTGTTGAAAGCGCATTATACAGCGGAGTGTCATTGAAGCGGACAATACAGGCGAATAATAGCGGTGGTGTGGAGGAGTTACAAGCGCCCCCTATCGGAGAAATTAAGAAGTATTGTAAATTTGGAGTAAGTGAGTGACGCATTCAAGCAAAAACTTCTAACTTCAACATGGAAGCATTAATAAAGTTGCAAAATGATGCAAAGAATTCCATTGAGAAGGGCAGAGTAAATTATAAAAAATCACCTAAAGAACGTCTAACACCTTCGTTCCTGGAGACCAGATTGGAAACTTTGGAACAACAATGGAAGTCTTTTGTAGAAACACATAGAAAGATAGTAGAACTTGCAAAAGATAATGAACATAGTTATTTTAAAGCAGATACATACGATAGCACCGAAGAAAGTTATATTTTATACAAATCAGAGTTGAGAGAACACATTTCAAAACTTGCAAAGCCGACTAAGGGTTCAGATAAGCAACCGGTAATAAAGATGTATAATAATGTTAAATTACCTAAAGTCGTTATTCCAATGTTTTCGGGAAAATATACAGAATGGATATCATTTCGTGATCTATTTTTATCGCTAATTCACAACAACGATGCAATTGATGATGTACAGAAGTTACATTATTTAAAAGGTCATTTGGCGGGTGAGGCAGAACAATTGCTGCGCCACACTCCAGTCACAGCTGCCAATTACCAGGAATGCTGGCAGTTGCTAACTAAGCGTTATGACAACAAGCGGTATTTGGGTAACGCTATGTTAAAGAGATTAATAAATCAATCGAATATTTTGGAATCAGCAGGCGCTATTAAGGAGCTCTTGGACACAACTGTAGACTGCATAAATGGCCTATCCACTATTGGTGTTGGCGTTGACTCTTGGGATGTTATAATAATATACTTAATCAGCGAAAAATTAGATAGCGAGTCACGAAAATTATGGGAGTCAACGGTTGGTACCTGTGAGGAATTACCAACATTTGACAAATTTAAAACGTTTCTAGAGTCTCGATTTCGGTCATTAGAGTACTTGGATACACAGAGTGGTAGACAAAGGTCAAGTTACAAACCAAGAGTTCTTCATGCGGTTGCTTCCAAAAACGATACCCCTATTAAAGCAAGCTGTCCATTCTGTAAACAACCTCACAAACTTAGTCACTGTAAACAGTTTTGTAAAAATGACTATAAAACACGTAGTGATTTCGTTCGAACTAGTGGCTTATGCTTTAATTGTTTAGGGTCGAATCATTCTATTAAGTTTTGTCGTGTCGCCACCACTTGTCAGATTTGCAATCGCAAACACCACTCTTTATTACACCCTAAGGAATCCTCAGGATCAACGTCGTCTAGAGGCATTGCAGAGACGACGTCAGTAGTCAAGTCGGCAGTAGCTACATCGAGTACTGCTTCCGATGCGGTGCAGGAATTAAATGCTGCCGCTATAACCACTCACTTTAGTAAGAAGGCTGTTCCAAATCAGGTCTTATTAGCAACCGCTCTTGTCGAAGCACAGACAGGCAACGGATACAACCACCTGCTGAGGGCGTTATTGGATCAAGGATCCCAGACGTCGTTCATAACCGAATCAGCAGTTCAGTTACTTGGACTCAAAAAGACACCCGCAAGAGGTGTCATTTCAGACATAGGAGGTGACGGTGGAGATATGGTCTCCAAGTTTATCGTTTTCGTAACTATTAAATCACGTCACGATCCTAATTTTCACATCCAAGTTCAGGCATATGTTTTGGGCAATATTACATCGTTACTTCCAGGTGATAAAGTATTAGTACCAACGTGGCATCAACTAGAAGAAATAGTTTTAGCAGATCCAGAGTACCACAATCCAAACAAAATCGATATTTTGCTTGGAGCTGAAGTTTATGGCCAGGTACTCAAAGAGGGTTTAATCAAGCACCCTCTTGGACCCTTGATAGCACAAAATACACGGTTAGGTTGGATTTTGTCTGGTCGAACACACAGAGATTCGAATTTGGATTCAGCACATTGTCACCCGGCATTGGTAAGCATGCATTCGCAGATCAGTGACAATGAAATGCTTAAAAGATTTTGGGAAATCGAATCTGACGCATACAGTAAGAAGAAAATACTTACCCAGGAAGAACAGTTATGCGAAGACTTCTTCAAGCAAACCACTCAACGAGACAGCACTGGTCGGTATGTTGTCAGTTTACCATTTAGAGACTCAGACCCACAGTGCAAATACGGCCATACCAGAGACATTGCGCTTCAACGATTTCACCTTCTTGAACGTCGTTTTAAGAAGGATCCAGAGATGAAACAGAAGTATACTGAGGTCATTCAAGAATACCTCGACCTTGGTCACATAGAAGTAATCAATCCCGTAACGGACACTCAGAGAACGGAGGCTGTGTACTTACCTCACCACGCCGTAGTTCGGGAGGATAAAACGACGACCAAGGTCCGAGTTGTGGCGTATTGCAGAAGATTTTTTAAAATAAATAGGAAAGGACACACTTACCTGACCAGCGAGGAATTAGATGAGGCCCTGGAAATTTGTATTAGAGATTTTCAACGGCAATCATTTAGTGAAGACATAGACGATGTTAAGAGATCAGGAAGAGTTAAGACTAAAAGCAAATTAAAGGCACTATGTCCCATACTGGATTCACGAGGAATACTGCGAGTAGGAGGAAGAATAGAAATGCTCAACTCTCTGAAAGCATGAGACACCCCATTATTATTCCTCAACATTGTCACCTAGCTGGCCTGCTTGTTGATGAAGCCCATAGAAAAACACTTCATGGAGGACCCACTCTAATGTTGAATTACTTGCGCTCGAAATACTGGATAATCTCGGCAAAAGGCACAGTCAAATCATTTGCACGTAGATGTGTAACTTGTCTCCGACACTCAGCTAAATTTAAAAACCAATTCATGGGACAATTACCCTTGTGCAGAGTTACACCAGCCAGAGCATTTGTACACAGTGGAGTGGACTTCGCAGGTCCAATCAATATTAGAGTGTCCGAAGGTCGCGGCAACAAGTCCTATAAGGGATACATATCTTTGTTTGTATGTATGGTTACGAGAGCGGTGCACTTGGAGGTCGTAAGCGATCTCACGTCACAATCTTTTATTGCAGCGTTTAAAAGATTCATTGCCAGACGAGGTCACTGCAGTGACCTTTGGAGTGACAACGGAAATAATTTTGTAGGTGCTTCCAAGGAGTTACGCTGCCTAGTAAATGCGGAACAGTCATTGGTCGCTGATGAAATTAGGGATTGGCTCAGCTCCAACAGTGTTAAGTGGCATTTTATACCACCGCACGCTCCAAATTTTGGTGGTCTGTGGGAGGCATGCATTAAATCAACTAAATATCACATGAAGAGAGTCATTGGCGACTCCACTCTCACTTACGAGGAGCTGTCTACTCTTCTGGTCCAAATTGAGGCGTGTCTCAATTCTAGACCAATTTCTCAAATTTCGCAAAATTCAGAAGACCAAATGCCCCTTACACCTGGTCACTTTTTGATAGGAGAGCCGTTGATTCTTGCACCGGATCGTAACTATGAACACTCTAATGTAGGCACACTGAAAAGATGGCAGTTGCTTCAAAAAATGACACAAGACTTCTGGCGACGTTGGTCTCAGGAATATCTGACCCAAATGTTGCACCGTTATAAGTGGTCCCAAAAGGAACCTGAACCAAAGATTGGTGATGTGGTTCTGATCAAGGAAGACAATTTGCCTCCTGGTAGGTGGTTACTCGGTAGGGTTTTATTAAAACACCCGGGTTCGGACGGAATCACTAGAGTCGTAACTTTGAAATGCAAGGATTCTGTTTTTAAACGGCCAACAAATAAATTGTGTGTTTTGCCAATAGCAGCTTGATAATCTAGTTGTAAGTTTCAGTAGTATAGCTTGTAGTCGTAAGTCTTACCACATATCCCCCTTGACCTCATGGTGGGCGGATTTCATTAGTTTTGTTTACCAATCCCCTTTACCTCATGGTGGGCGGAATCAGTTATTTTACATTATTAAGGACATAGTTTTATTAATATGTCCTTGGTGGGCGGAATGTATAAATTGAAATATGTTACATTGCTCTTCGATAGATGTCGCTGTGCCGTTTGGCTAAATCGCGTTATGGTTTCGTTACCGCAATCAATATAAATTGATTTGATTTCTTTGTATTGAACGAACATCCTTTTACCTATTGTGTACAGTGTTACCTAGTGATTAATAAAACTAGTTGTAAAGAGTCAGTGGTTATAATTAAGGCTCCTGGGGATCCATTTGTACAGACTTCAACATATTATGCAAAGAATATGAAATTGACACTGCCACTAAAGTGCTAAATCACAACTTCTTTGGAGATTAGCTTATTCAAACGAACCGTAATGAATACATTTGTATGCCATGTTCGTGCATTGAGTGTTCTTGAATTTATATCGATAATCCTGTTATTTTACTCGTGAAAATCTGTAATTGTCCTATTATTATTATGCCTGAAATGGTGACTCATAGCGGTTGGTTTTCCTTAAATAAAATAAATATAGCAGCAACATATATACTCGTATACAAGGTGTAAGGGACATCGTACCGAATACTGCAGTAGTGTAATTCTGAGTCGAAAATCATTGGAATTTACTGCCGGAAAATTCATCATTTTTAGGGTTCCGTACCACAAAAGGTAAAAAAGGAACTCTCTTGAGATCACTTTCTTGTCCGTATGTCCGTCTGTCCGTGTGTCACAACCGATTTTCTCAGGAACGGGTAGACCTAGCAAGTTGAAATTCATACCAGATACTGAGGTCTATGGTCCCTATTAAGTGTATAAAAATCAAGGTCCTGAGTCAACACGATAAAAAGATATAGGCAAATTTTAAAATTTTTCCTTAATTTTCATTTTTTTTTATTTTTCAGAATTTTCTCTTTACTAAAATAAATTTACTAAAAAATGTTGATTCACATAAAAAAGACTTAGGTATATATCACTCAAACACCATTTGCTAGTAAAGGTCGCAAGTATTGACAAGTAATAGTAACGACTTAAATAATTCTCTTAAATCTTGAGATTCTTGAAATATTCTTTGGATATCGTCTGTTTTTGTAAAGCAAATACTGACCTAGTAATTGCTTTACAAAAACAGACGTTTACCAAAAGATTGGCTTCCGGAAAGAGATGACCACAATTTTTTGTGACATCATTCGGTTAAATTTTTGTAGCAAATTACGAGCAAGTTGTTTTGTCTTGGTTCTCGATCGGGCAGTTAAATAGTGCCTATAGCAATCATGAGCTAAGCTGTAAAGGAGTATTTTTTCAGCTTTTGTTGCGTGCAGCACAAACTTGCGAAATACGTTAGAAGACTTGATAATATTTTTTATTGAAAGAGTGTTACATTAATTTCAGTATTTTCTGACTCCTGCAATACTTACTACTGTGCTACGGAAGAAATAGTCCTTCTCTCTTTACATGAACGTTCACTGTTTATGTATAATAAATAAAAAGAAGAAAATTAAAATTTTTGTGTGTATGTGTGTTGGAAGGTATTTATGCGATACGCACACATATATTCATGTACACGTTCATACATTAATACATTTTTACATTAACTTACACATTCATACACATTTTTTGTGAATACAAAAACACTTATATTCTTAATATTTACCTGAGTGTACACAAAGGGAATTATGTATATACACAAACAGTACAATATTAAAAAGCTCAACACACCTGATTCGTTAAGGATAAATGATGTTTATAACTGTAGGTCGCTTCGCAAGCCACTTCTTCGACAGAGCAGGGATTTGCACGCCTTCTAGCATCTGTACTTATAAATGGCATCAAAGGCTTTTCCGCAAAACTTCCGAAACCGAGTCTAGAAAAATTAGGTTTGAGTATAAAATGAATGTAGCACACAATATATGTAAACAGTTACCTCTACAGTTTGAGCTAAATAACAAAACTTTACTTTATTTCTGACTGTTACAATGTTTTTTAACTGTTTTTTTAAAGAATGAGAGTTTCATTGACTAGGCAAAAGACGAACTGTTATCCCTTTAGCGTGTTTAACTTTTCAGATCTCAAACCAACGTTTTGACGTCACGTTTTAACATAAATGCAACTTGTTCTACAATACAATAAAAAAGCAGCAACAAAACTTTTTGTATAAGAAGTTTACAAAACTATAACAATGTCCTACCTGAAGTTGTCTGTAAGATTCTTCAACAATATTGGTAGGTCATCTCTCAAAGACACCAGAGTTTCCTTGTCATCCTTCATCGACCAAGTGAGATCCATCAAGTAATATAAGTCTAAGGGATAATTTTTGGCAGGTCGGAAGGAAAACTGTATCTTTTTTGTCTCACCTGTAACAAAAGGGATGTCTTCTTTAGCAAAACATTTTACTTAACCCATATAGCAACTTCAAAAACTTAAAAAAACACTTTATATACGAATTCCGATAAACAATGAGTAACTAGACATCCCGATACATCTATAAAAGCATTATAATACTTAATATTATTCACGTGCAAATACTAAATGCACATGCATATAGTATTTGCACCGACATGGTAGTTGATGTATTTCGTACAATTTATCGAGAGTATGGACGCTGTATCTGAAATATATTTTATTATGAACTTATATATATTATTTAAACGTTGACATTGATAATGGTTTTTTTATTTTTTTTTCATGGTCAAATACGACAACTAAACCCATGAAACAAAAAAAGTTACTAGCTTAAACATTTACTGGTCAATTGTACAATTCTTACAGTTCTAAATACAAACTTTGTGGATAATTGTATAAATTAACTACTAATTAATTATATACAGACTCAATAATATACAATAATTTACAGACTTATAAGTTTAATGAAGTACTAGTAAGTAGGGACTATGAATAATAATAACAAAACAGGAAAACAGGACGTATATTCTCCGAGTTTATCATGTTTCAAGGCCATATATTTGCAATAGGGAACCTTTAATAATACCAATCAACTTTTACACTTCGTTGTAAAGGTCAATAAGTCTAAGGATTACCTTAGATATGTCAAAATGATTGAGAATATAACTTTGTCGATTACTCAATAAGCAGTACTATAATAATATGGTAGTTATAAATTATGTTTAATTTAAAGTTATGATAGGTGCATTTTGATAGTACAGAATTCTAATAGTTACACAGTACAGAATATAGAATGCAATGTTTTATAGCACACCAATTACTGTATGTTGATTAAATATTACAGACGGATATGTACAATGGGCGGTCTTATTTCTAATAGCAATATCTTACAGGCAGTCTTAGAATGGCCAAATTGATGTCTGTCAGTAGATGAGAAGAAACAGTGGGTATTTTGAAGCTAAAGTAGTGTAAAAATAAATATATATATAATTTAATTAATCAATATAGCAATCTTGAAAACGTATATTTGAATGGCATTGAAAACATCGTCCTGAACCCTATAGACGTAGCATAGCGGGTAAGATTCCTCGCTAGTGCTCCTAGAAGCTTATGAATGACCAAAGGAGCTTCTGCGCTGCTGGAAGGAGCCAGGCTTGCTTAATCAGCGCTATCGGATCGCTTAATGGACCATGTAAGAGTGTAAAAAGAGCCCTACACTAAAAGCATTTCTGAGTCCCGCTTCAGGCCTTTCAGCTTTTTATCACTTCGACAAGGCAAGGGAGGGAAAATTCTCGACCGGTGACTACAGATTTAAGAATTCATTTGGAGAAATCCAAAGTTAATCAGGTGTGAACACAGTACATTGGTGTGTAACATAGACCTGACTAGTATTAAAAGAACGTAAATGGTTTGGACATGGTGATCATCAATCATCATCAACAGCCTGTAATATTCCACTGCTGGTCATAGGCCTCTCCTTAGAAAGGAGGTTTTGGCCTACTATACCACGCTAGCCAGACGATTTTCCTTCTCTTAGCAGTGCTGGTGTCCTGCGTAGTTTTTTCCCTTACTCGACTCTTACGACACCTATGGGATGAACAGGTGTGGGACACTCCGTATTCTTAATCCGTCACCACACGGACATGGTGATACCAATAGCATAAAAGTCCTTACTCTAAATTTATTAACTGCGACATCCATACTTCTATACTTCCTTTTATTATAAATGTAAAAGTGAGTTTGTTTGTTTCTTTGTTTGTACCGCTTTCACGCCTAAACCACTAAACAGATTTTAAAAATTCTTTCACCAATGGAAAGCACATTTTCAGCGAGTAACCCAGACTACATACTTTTTACCGCGATAACCGACGTACACGCAGGACAAAAGCTAGTAACTAATAAACATGCAAGACACATCATTTGAAGATATGCATCAAATAGGTATCTTACGTGGTTTGAGAGAAAGCCTTATCTTCTGCGGCTGTATCTGGACCACATTATCTTCGCTGTTTGGCATCATGTCTTGAAGTGAACTGTTCTGCAATACTTCCCATACGTCCTTCTCGGGGCGCTGTATGAATCCTTGACTGCATCCGGTGTTCACTAGACTAGAAATAAAAATTTGTGTTACGTAAGATAGTAGAGTAGGAGTTATATTATGTTTATATAACGAATTAAGTAGCCTAACCTACATTTAAAAGAATTTTATTAAAACTTTTGTTTCATACTAGACACCGACCTAAACCAGCAAAATACTTTTATTGATTTTGCAGGGATTCCCAAAGCGGTCTAGTGGTCAGCGACCCTGACTGCTAAGCCGGAAGTCGTGGGTTCTATTCCCACCCAGAACAAATAATTGTGTGATGAGCACGATGATCTGTGATGTGTCTGGGTGTAATTTGTCTATAATGTAATGTGTATGTATTTAGAAATATATAAGTATGTTTATCAGCAGTCTGGTTACCATAGCACATGCTCTGCCTGCGCCGGGCCCTCACTGCAGTCATCGGAGCAGATCTCTCGCTACCGGCCGTAATTCGCTCCATGGCCGGTAGCGACAGTTGTTTTACCGCGGTCGCAACCTTCTGCGAGGAGGTAATCTCGCAGAAGGAGGCGGCGGAGAAGGCCCGGGAGGATGACCTCCACTCGGACCTGATCCGCCGCCGGCGAACCGGGCGGCGGAGGCGCGCTTACCTGCGCCTCATGCCGCCCTGAGTGTGGCCGCGGGTGGACGAGATGGGTTCTCCCCTCCACCCGCATTAGTTGGCCAGCCGCGAGGGGGTGGCGTCTGCGTGTGCCGGACGTCGCCTAAAGAGAGGGTCCACTGAGACGGAGCCCGCATCAGGAGCGGGCCGGCGCTGGGAGGGGTCCAGAAGGCGATAACTACCTGGACCCCTCCTAAACTGGAAGCGCAAAGAGGGCACACCGTGTGGTTTTAGTCGGTTCGAGTCCGACACACCGCCCCGCCGAACGAGAGCCCCGGCGGGGTGACGGTCCGAGGGGATTTCCACACGTAAAAAAAAAAAAAAAAAAAGCACATGCTCTGCCTATTGGATTATTATATTGGAATCAGACGGCCGTGTGTGAGATGTGTGAAGTTATTATTTTTAATAATGAAACCTGTCGGTAATGAATTCCAGTACATTGTTGTATAAGTTTAATAAACTGATAGTTTGTATTGATATCTTTTGTCTAATAAAAGTATTTTAACTTAATCAAAAATCAATTGTATAAACGGCCTCATTCGAATAGACACACAAATTAATCACGCCACGTACCGGCATGTAGGTAGGTAGGTATCTACTTCCGTCCCCGAGACAATCGTCACCCACTTTCTTTTAAGTACGAAAGCCCATTGGAAATCGTTCAGCTGGGCATGTAAGCCTCACAATCAATAATCTAAAGTACAACGATCTGTTGATTAAACAGCCAGAATATCGGTCAGTGAACGTGGGAACGATTGAACTCAAGGAATGCGCCAGCATCGTGAACGTAATTGATTAGGTGAAATATAAGCATCTCATTGGGTATATTCCTAGACATTTTGTTTGACAGCGGTAAAGAACTTTGCCAAAAAAATAACATTAGGTAACCTAAATCTAACCCGTATAGGTTACCATTTTCAATTAACACCTTAGTAGGTATATGACACAGAGTATGGACTATGGACCATGTGCCTATAACCATATGCAACGCAAGCATTATATAAAGGAAAAGTTATGTTTAATTTACGTAAAAGTGACCTACTTTTTAAAAATAATAAATCTGAATTGAAATTTAATTAAAATGATTTTTGAACATAGAACACAAGTTCCTGGAATTCATAAAAAACACAAAACACCTCAAAAAGCACCTAACTACGTCGACATGCTTATTTTATTTTCAAACAAATTGATTTGAAACTTTTTATAAGGACTTGTATTTTTTATATTATATTTTGTAAGTATTTAATTTTAACTTGAAATTACAGATTTTATCCATTTCCCAACAGAATAGTAAATGCAAAGTACATTATTTTTCTATTTGAGAATATGGCATAGGTGATGTCGGTTAGGTAGGTATATCATCATCATCACCATTAACACTCTCCTTAGAAAGGAGGTTTTGGCCTACTATACCACGCTTGCCGGTTTGGTATAGGGTTTGTTTCAAGTTTTCATTCTCTTTGCAATGTTGTTATTCTGCGTAGTTTGCTTCCTTACTCGGCTCTTAAGACACCCACGGGAAGAATAGGGATGGTGACACTCCGTATTCTTAATCCGTCACCACACGGATAGGAAGGTAGGTAGGCATGTAATACATATATGTATGTTTATATTATTTTTTTCAAAAAAAAGTGATGTTAAATACAAGTGTGAAGAAAAAGGTTCAACGGTGAATTTTAACCAAAATCCTATTTCCTACCTATTCTATTTCTTTAAGAAATAAAATATAAAACGATAAGGAAACATTTTTCAAAGATACCTGACTACTTTTGGACTAGTTGAGTGATGAACCTACAGCGCCAATGTAAGTAAAATCACAAAATAAAACCATAATTAATCTTCAGTGACGTCTATAATAACAGCTTACACCAGTTTGTTCAACTATAACATCATCCAATTATTCTATAGATAGTTAGGTTGTGGGCGTAACATAATTGTAGTGAATCGGATAATGTAATCACCACTATCCTTCAACTTGGGTGATTTTCATTTCATTTTACTTGATTAACGTATATACTATACTATAGATGACTTCACATTAATTTAAATTAGAATAAACACATCTGTATTTTTGCAAGTTTTTGCATTTAGACAAACACACCAAGTATTTACATGTCTAAAATGAGGCAAAAAAGAGAGATCCTTAAAAGTGATTAAATAGTAAGTAAATAGTAATTTTATTATTTTTTTGTTTAGCAATATATTATACATTCTATTAGAATAGAACCAGTTTTTGAATACTACAAAGTCATATCGAAAAAAGAAAGACAAAGCCTTTTTATATACAATTGAGTGCAACAAAAAACCAGTGGTTCGCCTAATGAAAAACAAAGAAAACCTGACCCCGTCAGTACTTACGCAGCAATTACGAAATAATTCCCTTGTGAGATCGATCTTTTCAAGCTATGTCAATAGACATTATATTAGGGCATCAAAGCTCATACTCAAACAGAGCATCATCCAATTACTGAACATTGTGGGCGTAGCTTAATCACCACGATTCAACCACGATAACTAGATTATGATCTTTTCTTGTTCTTAAAAGTACTTCTTTAAATATCCACTAGTTAAACTTAACGATCAAACCATTAATTATAGCATTAAACTTGTAAACGCCCATTAAATCTGAAATATTTCTACAATTAGAAGTTGCTAGTAAAGTCATAAATTGAAGTAGAAAAGATTTTCGGTGATTAATGAACATTATCTGTGACCCAAAAGCAATTTTATCTGAATTTATCGATAAGTAGAAATCGTATATTAATCAATAATTTGATTAGGTATGTGAGTAGTACAAAAGGGCCAAATGGTCTTTAGATTTGTGAGTGAGTTTGTTTTAAAGCCTAACAAGAGGCTCATCGAATATTGATAAGGGCTACCGTGATTTATACGGTATTTCTCAGTAGTCCCATCATTTTCTAATTAATCAGCCTATGCCTCTCCTGGTAACCATCATAAGTTCTATAAAATAAATTTTATTTATCATATGAATCGGGAAAACTATTTTGAGAGATGCAGACGTAGTTGCATGGGTCAGCAAGTGTTGTATATACACTCACCTTTCATCATCATTGCATCTAGGTGCACCAGAAGTGTAGTAAGGATCTGCGCACCAGCGACAATGGGATGCAGCAGCCAGACATGCTCCACATTTTTCGTGCTCGATGCAGGCCAACTTATTCAGTAGTTGTTGCACTAAAAATAACATAATTATTATTATAAAATAAATAGTACATTTGCATATTTAATTTTACATTAACATAAACTAAGTGGCGGTAAGCAGTCACCTCGCCGCTTCCTACTGCGTTATGTTGTGATTTCGATCACCACATGGGACAACACTTTATGTGATCTACAAATTGTTATTCTGAATCTGAGTGCACTTAGTCTTATTGGTGTTTCTTGTGTGTACCCCTGAGACACAGGATATTTTCCTAGTGCGGGATTTGATTTTTTTTAAAGAAAAATAAATATTATCATCATCATTAACAGTCCCTAACAGTCCACTGCTGGACATAGGCCTCTCCTCACAATGGAGGTTTTGCTTACTATACTATACTGGCTAAACGGGTTGCTATAGTCAGTAAACAAATAACATACAACTCGTATAAATGCGAAAGTTTATATGGGTATCTATTACTCACGACAGAAAGGCTGGACGGATCTGGATAAATAGATAAAAAAGTTGGCATAGAGATAGGTTATGGTTAATACCACAAAGGCTAGTTTGTTTGTTTCTTTTTATAAAATTGACATTAAGCGAGCTAAGCTAAAGCTAGTAGTGATTTAAAACACCCCCTGTGCTTCAAAGCGCAATGGTATCTTATGTTACTTATTATACCGTCTAAACCATTATAATAATTTAAAAAATAAAAATAAATATTAGACTGGATAACGTGGATTCAATTTAATTCTAGAAATAACATGAAGAAATGCTATTTTCTGTTTAACATAATCAATTTATTATTTCTTAAGTGAAGTTACAAGAATGGGAAACAATAACATACCTACATATTTACCTATTTTTTATTAGCTTACAGTAACTGCACAAATACACTGGAAAATATTATAAATATTTCTGTTACTTTTTTCTTGAATTAAAAGAAACAAATTAGGAAAATATAAAATACAAATACAGTACAATTGGCTATAGATATTGTATGCATTACAATAGTTAATTCTTACGTATTGCATGCATTTTGAATTATCAGAAATCAATAATATTATAATTATAACTAAGCAATGTTATAAAACGATTATTTAAATCTGTATACTCGTAGCTATCTAGCATGAAATTTACGTGTGTGACGGACGGTGTTATAATTGCTCAAAACTAATACATATTTAATATTTACCCTTAATTAACTTAATATCATTGAAATCTTAGTACTCGTAACTGCAAAATTTATGGACAATCACATGATAACGTATAGAATCCGCCATCAGGGTCATTCTTTGAGTAAATACTGTTTGTTTAATTAAGCAATAGTCGTAAGTAAACAACGATTAAAAACGGTTACGGAAGCCTAAGATAACATCAACTGCAAATCTAGCAAAACTTCCTCGTATTAAACAAGGATATATAATATCTGCATTGATGTCGACTGTTGTGGCTTAAATCCACACGGAGTATAAGTCTTGATTGTATTCTTATATATTCCATCATCTTCATCATGTTCAACAGCCTTTAGCAGTCCTAGTATTCCACGCTGGCTAGACGGGTTGGTATAGAGTTTGTTTCACTAGTTTTCCTTCTTTTTGCAATGCTGTTGTCCTGCGTAGTTTGCTCCCTTAGTCGCCTCTTACGACACCCACGGGATGAATAGTGATTGTCCGTATTCTTAATCCGTCACCACACGGATGGTTCCTACATGACAGAAAATATTTTGAAAGGAGTATCATTTTTAGCAAGAAATGAATAACTAATGAAAGTGGAGAGGTTGCTACTCGGTGCCTGAATTGTTTTTTACAGTCTTGTCTACAGTCCTATAGCAATTAAAACTTTGATGAGTTGTCGAGTCAGTTAACGATCTGAAATGCCCTATTTTCCTGTTTGAACATCTAATCACCGGCATCGAAGCAAGCAAAGTCGCAAACAATACTTGCATTTTACACAATAAGCGAAATTATTCAAAATACTGGTTCTTTTTTAAACCATTGAACTGGCAAACAAGTAGGCGTTGAAAGATCAACGTTAAATTAGAATGGGACAGATACAGCTAATGAATTTGAATCAAACACACAAAAGGAAGCGTTTCCTAACCACTTGACACATCAAACAGAACATACGCGTCAAAATTAAAAATAGACTACCAGAATTATGTGTAGCGTTGATACAATTTATGTGGGCGTATACGAGATTACCGCCGAACTCTGATTATCTACAAATATGGCTCAACAGCTCGCACGTGCTATGGTGTTATAACATTGATACTATCTGAGAATTGGGACTGTCTGCGATCAATACAACATGTTAACATACACAACATGTTTATGAGAACAGTGATAATGAATTTTCGAGTGCAGTAACTAGCGGTAGATTCGTACCTAGATATAACATTGAGAAACATGATTTTCCTAGACGTTTGACTGACAAGTCACTCTTTTACGAAATTCATTATTAGGTTAATTCTTTCTTTCAGACTACATAACCATGCATGTAGCCTACAAATTTTAACAGCACGTCGTGTGTGTATGTGGGTGAGAATTACATAGGTATGTACGGTCTCTACTTGAATGTCCCTTAACTATAAAATTCTGTTACGACTTTTGGTATATCTGACATACAAATGTTAACTGCGGTGATTACATAAATAAAAGTGGTTTGGTGTGCTTCTTAGGATAAATATTTTATTTATACATTAATTTTATCGCCCTCGCAAGCCTCGCACCCACTTCCACGGCATACAACGCAACGACATAACCATTTTTAGTTGTTTTGTTGATTAAGTCAAAGTACTTGTCTCTTTTTAAAGCGTGGTCTTTAGGGATGTTCGTTTCCCACAGCACCGTAAGTTCTACTAGTACTATACGTGTAATTGAAATTGCATAAAGAAATATGTCTGGTCGGGACGCCGAGGAATAGATATCCTCAGATATTCTGTAATGATTTTCATACGTATCCACTAATAATGTCCAGTCACTAGCGGTATTTATATTTGAGTACGGCTTTTGAGAAGTCTTTTTTGTTGAGCCTTCCTTTACAAACCCGATGTTAGTTCTTATGTTTGTTCTTATTCCTTTTTTCGCTCTCACCAGTGATAAACTTATAGCTTCGGCCATGATTTGTAATACCCTATCATGGCGCCTTACAACCTGTCAGTAAGTGCATGGCTGTACCTCTTTCCGCACTGCACATCGTACAAGACTTTTCTGTAGCTCTTCCCCACCTTACTAGGTTGCTTTGATTGCGGAGAATCAAATTGAAAGGCGTTGAGGTAAAATTTTAACAGGGCAGGTGACCAATCGTATAAAACCGTGCGCCATTTCAAAGCTGGTGGGATACAAAATTCTCCTAGAGTTTACCATTCATTCTGCATTTCTAGATTCATTGCGTGCACCATGTAGGTCTCGTTTTCATCTCGTTGTAGGAATTGTTATCTCTTCGGTCTGTCTTCTAGCATTTTCCAATCCAACTACCCTGGACTGCTTACCCACCATGAATTTCTTGTGGAATTGAAGCCGTGACTCGAGCTCTGATGATTTGTTGTCTTCTGGAAGGGATCAAACGATTTCGTCTTGTGATTTTGACAAGACATGCATTTTGGTAACTCTTAGGTGTTTGTAGAGCTCCGAAGGTCTTTTTAATTTTATTCCAAAGATATTCGAGCCTCTGTACAACATTGATAGCCTTACTAAAGGTAACGGTAAACTTTAGTAATTTTATCAAAATGGAATTAATTGTAGACAAGTGTGCAGTCATGTATGTAAAGAAGGGCGTGATAGTAGAATCTGAAGGAACAGAGTTTTCAGATTCAACAAAATATATCACTGTCGTTGGGAATACCAGAATATGACATGAAAAAAAACGTAGCAGGAACGCTTTTTTGGCAGCCTGAAAGTCTGGGGGTTGCGGACTATTAAATATCAAGACCCCTACACAATCGCGAGATATGCAATCTCAGAGAATATTTTCTACATACTGATATGTGAGTCCATCGCAATGTAGTTGCAGTGGATACCGGGTTCACCCCGCCCACTCTGGCTAAAGATAATCGTAACGCCCAAACCATTAGTACTAATGATCACAGGGAAGTATAGAAGGGCAAAGAGCTCCATGGTCGATTTTATCGGGCCCTTAAATACCAAGTTGTGAATCTAGAGGTGCCATACTACAGATATGTGCCCGACCCAGTTCTCGAGAATGGTCGGACCACGTTGTATTGGGATCGATCTATTATCACAGACAGGACTATTGTTACCAATAAGCCAGATATTGTGGTGATAGATCGATGAGAGTGCGACGCAATGATTGTTGATATCGCCGTTCCTCATGACGAGACTCTCGTGAAAGTTGAATAAGAAAAACAAATAAAACAATTGGGTTTATCTCACGAGATTGTTTGATTCGGCTATCATTGTCGCGATAGCCGTATCTACTTACGGATTGATTACCAAGAGCCTCAACCATCTCCTTAAGAGGCTCACGTTAGACGACTGCATCAAAGGTCTGATGCAGAAGGCAGTTCAGTGTGGAGGCTCCTGACTATAGAGTCCCTTGGTCCATGTAACCGATATCGGTGATCTACTATTTTTTATATTTTTAAATGTATTTTTTTTTAAATGTAATCAATATATATGTATGTATAATGTAATATATTATATCTATACTAATATTATAAAGCTGAAGAGTTTGTTTGTTTGTTTGTTTGTTTGAACGCGCTAATCTCAGGAACTACTGGTCCGATTTGAAAAATTCTTTCAGTGTTAGATAGCCCATTTATCGAGGAAGGTAATAGGCTATATATCATCACGCTAAGACCAATAGGAGCGGAGCACCAATCAAAAATGTTTCAAAAACGGAGAAAATTTATTACTTTTGAGAGACGCAGACGAAGTTGCGCGTGTCAGCTAGTAATATATATAAATATTTCGGACATCTGACGCACAACGCCATCTAGTTTCCAACTAAGCAGAGCTTGTATTATAAAAGCTAGATTGGCTGATAGAATACTTTTATACTTTTTTGTAAATAC